TGTTCCAGTGGTATTTGATTCTGGGAGGGGCAATCTTCCTCATGGTCTCCAACTCAGCACAGCCCCCAGCAGGGGGAGGCAGAGAGCAGAGCTGATTCCCACTGAAGTACTGTTTCCTTACTTGTGGCTTGTTCTTTCCTTCTCCTCCTCTGTCAACTTATCTACTTAACTCCTACACGACTAACAAAGCCTCCACTTTGTTTTTCCTTCTTTGATGGGTCCCCCCCCTCACTCCCCCAGCGTGCGTGCCAAATACATTCCAATGTCTGAAAAAGCCTAATTGTTTTCTGAAGGATGCCTCCACGCTAAACCATCCAGAAATCCAAATTTTAAGTTATTGTGAACATTATGCGCGTGTGTTCGGTTTTAACATTGAGATTTCCTCTTTATTCTTTAGTTTCTCACCCACTTTTAACGTTTCTTCTGTTCAGAAACTAAATAGAACCTAATCTGGGGAGACCAATCTGGGACAGATCTCTGTAATCCAAGTCGAGAATTGTTGCCTTTTAAAACAACTTGTCGTCTTTACTTCCCCTCTTCTTTTTTTTCTTCTCGTCTTCTCCAGTGGATGTACATCGTGCCCCTCGTTCTGTTCCTCATGATGTCTGGCGCTCAGGACCAATCGGGTGGAGGAGCCGGAGGCGGAGCAGCCAATGGAGGTGGCCGATGATTAACAAGCAAAACAGCTTCTGCTTTCTTTTCTTTCTTTTTTTTTTCAATTGTGGAACATTTCCTGAACAATAGTTCTGTTGAGCCGATTTGAACTGCTGTACATAACGTTATTTAAGTAGGATAAATAAATGTCTGTCAAACACACTTAAAATTGTACAGCACAAAGGAGAAACTGTGCCCTGCAAGAGACAACATTTTTAATACTAATGTGAAAATAAAGTATTTATTACTTGACCTGCGTTCTCTCTACATCTCAGATCGGAGAGTTTTAGACTCGTAGTCCTGTTTTACTCAGAGGATTTAGCTGTAACAATTTAAGTCATATAAAACTAAATGAAATATTCATATGATAGGCAGCAGTAGAAGTGATTAGAGAAGGAAAACCATTTATGAGACTACATGTTGTAAAATAATCTTTTTTGAATAAGGATACTGGTAATAAATACAATAAAGTGTCATGAAAGTGTTCCTTTCACTGTTAATTTCATTTTTAATGGGAATACACAACGATTAAAGTCTGCGTTCCTTCCACTGGCATTAACTGGTAAGAACTAAACTAGATAAATATTTGTTATTCCAGTTCCCGACGTGTTTCCTCACTGCTGGAGGAAACCAGAGCCTCCACTCGGTGCTTTAATCCTTAAATAAAAGCAGCTGCTGCTGAATCTGAACAAGTATCCACTCAGTTAATGCCGTTTACTTAAACTAAGTAACCATAATCTTTCAAAGGGTTCATATTATCATTCGTATTCACCATTTCAAGCTGCTTTTATCTCAAACCCGAGTATTATCCAACATCCTCTGATGGCTTTAGAATTCCTTGAATACAATAATCAGTTTTAAATTCAAAGACTGTGTTAAATCTCACGCGTCCAGGACTTTATCGCATTGCTTTGCTTGTGTAATCAAACGGAAATATTTTCTTGATTTATACGTTAAGTGTTACATGATGGTGTTTTTTTCACTTTTGAAGCCAGGAACCAAAACCATCTGCGTTGGAAATCAAAGTATGCAAATCATCAAATGAAAGAAAATACAAAAAAATGAACAAAGAAAAGAATAAACTAGGACTGAGCCTCGTGCCTGTGACAGAGGAGCCGACTTGAATAACAGGATAAAAGTAAACCTGAATGGCTTCAAAAGCCGACAGTTCAAACTAAAGTCCCGTCCTTCTCGAATCCCGGCTCCAGCTTTAGGAGCCAAAGAGACCTTGAGTCTTCAATCCGTCTTGCTGCGGCCTGTCTGTTATATTTATAGTCAGGAAGGTTCTCCGTTCCAAACCGGCTTCATAAAACATGATGTCCATGTGTCAACGCGGGCCGTCCTCTTCCTCGTGGCTGTCCATCACTCGGCCGTCTCTGGTCCCCGCGTCGAACCGCGAGGGACGAGGATTATCCTGCTTTTGCTGTAAGACGTGAAAAATGGGTGATTCGAACAGCTGAGGGAAACGGGAGAGTGAGAATAAAGTCATCAGTTTGTAAAGAGATCTGCTTGTCATGCGGGGTCGGGGGGGTCGGGGGGGGCAGAGGGGTTTCTTCATGTGATCTCATGACAGTAACACGATGCTCTGGGATCTCACCAAACCGAGCAGCTTCTTCTTCTTCAACCATCTCCGCTCCTCTGCTTTGAGCAGCAGCAGCACTGATGGATCATGGGAAGGCCGATCAGCAGCGGCCGTGATGTATGTCCACCTCCTGTCCGCCGGCCGGGGGACACGGAGACACATGATTGTGGTGAATGGAGGAATGGAGTCATGTGTGTTTGCGGTCTGCTGAGGCCTCCGCGTACAGTAAACACATGTTGCTTTCAACAAGTGGAGAACAAACTAGGCTGAAGTTACACGCAGCTATAAATAACAGAATGGGGAGTAAAATGGAATTAATGACAGATTATAGTATTAAACCAAATCATTTATGTCCATTTGGGTGCAGCATCAGGAGCCAGATGTGTAGTCCCTACGTTGCCACATGTGCATGATGGTGAGGATGATAAACAGATGGATGATGCAGCAGTAAACATGATGGCTAAGGGGGAGGAGCTGAAGGTAGGTTAGCGATAACGCTCACATGGCGGCCGTTACCCAAACCGGTACCACGTGACTTCATCCCACCTCTTACAGCACATTGTGATTTAGGAGCAGCTACAACGTTTACGTTCCCCTAAAGCCACCTGTCGTTATCAAACCTGGCAATCTGGACACTTTAACCATCCTGACTTTATTAATGATGCAATAGAATCAACGTTAGGTCAACATTTTAATCAACTCATTGTTAAATAAAATCAATAGTTCACTACATTTGGGATTTGGGAGCCTTCAAAAGAAAGCGAGTCACTTAATATCTATGACTTGTTAAACGTTTCACCAAAGATCCATTTATCCTCCAAACATCTATGGGGCGTCGTTTGTAAAATATCGCATGTTCTAAAATCCTGCACAGTTTAGCTACATTTCGCATTATCATATGAGCAAAAAAGCACGACAATATTCATATGTCACTTTTTCAAACATTTAGAGAGAAATTCATGTAATTTCATGCAATAACTTTTCCAAGGATAATGTTTGGTAGTAACACAAAGTTGTTAAATAATATAAATGTAAAATGTAAATCTAAATGTAAATGTTAAATCTAAATCTAAATGTTAAATGTAAATCTAAATGTTAAATCTAAATGCTAAATGTAAATGTTAAATGTTATATCTAAATGTTAAATGTAAATGTTAAATGTAAATGTAAATGTTACCTGTAGATCTAAATGTTACATGTAAATGTAAATCTAAATGTAAAATGTAAATCTTAATGTTAAATCTAAATCTAAATGTAAAATCTAAATGCAAGGGTGATTATTAAACGTTTTTTCACAAAATAAAAAACCAAAGAAGGAAAGGGAGAAGGGTTATTCAAATGTCACTCTCTTTATTCCCAATAGGAGAGAATTTTCTTCAGGTTTTTTTGGGGCTCGCCTCGCCGGGGAACCCAATGGGGGGAAAACACCAGTGGGGGTAAGGGGGGGGGGGGGGGGGGGCAGCACCTGCCTTGTCGATCAGAGGCAACTTCAAGGAGACGTCCCCTGAACAGCCTCCACGGATTACAGCCTCACACTTACTCCGCCCAATCATGCTTCACATGTCACCACAGCACCACCATGTTAACATGTAATCAGGCAACGCGATAGGGGGCTCAGTGGCCCGGCTGGGGGGTAATGTACACTGGGTCATTGACTGTATGATGTTGGGCTAAACACAACCACGGGTCGGGGAACTATTTAAGCTCTCTCACTGACAGCAGTAAGCGGCAGGTGTTGAAATGTGTTTTCATGCCTCACAGGGCGTATCTGGTATTATAGGAGTAGGAGCTAAGCTGGGACTTACACTTCATTAAAATTCTTCTTCTGATTGCAGTTGGACGCTGTCTTAACTTTCATCCATTAGGACGCATCAGTGAAGGAAACACTCTGCAGCCACGCATTCCCTCGTCGCTAAGACCGACTCCTCTCACACCTCCTCTGCCAGCTTGTTAAAGTTCCAAAGTTGCTGTTGACTACAATATGTTTGTCCTTAACTCGGATCTGGACACATGAGTCCATTTACAAAGTCTCTATTAAAGACTAAATCATTGAACTCTCCCTGTCTCAGCAGTCAGCAGCTGACTGATCCTCCCTCTGCAGCCTGGATACACATTCATTATTAATGATAATTAAAAGGTGCCATTCTGGCTCACACTTTTAGGTTCTGTTTTTTTTGGTGTATTTTTTCAAGCTCTGACCACAGCAGCCCTTCACAACTCTCAGCTTCAACTTCTCGGCTAGATTGCATTTGCAGCAGCTGCTGATTGATGGCTTTTGATATTGACGACAGTTCTCCGGCGAGCCGCTGACTGCCATCTTACATACTGGCCGCCCCTCGCAGAAACGCAAAGCTATAAGTTGTGTCGGGGTCCCTTTAAGTTGCGTTTTTCAGTGGCCGCTCATTCTTGGGTCAGAGGTCATCGTGTTGCAAAGGTCACAAAACAAAGCATAAGTAAAGATACTGCAACGAATGTGAAATACGTGCACTCCACCTTTGAACCCCACAGAGCTGCGAAATCATCTCTCCATAAGTCAAATTTGTTGAATGTGCCTGCCAGACGTGGATTGTGTGCCTCGCGCACATACTCGGCCCATGTGTGTGTGTACATGGAAAGGCATTCTTGAGATATACCGGGTATCTGCTCGTCTCCAACTCTCTGAGAAATGATCTGCAGTGTCATGTGACAGGACCATCCCTTTGGACAACCGCTTCTCATCCCCCCGTCCTCCTCCCCGACCCTCCCGCCCTTCCTCATTTTGAAGTCAATAAGAGGGACCCTCCAGAGGCGCAGCCCCTCACTATCACTGGACCTCCCCATTTGATGCCAAACGGCGCTGCGACCACAAAGGGAATCATGCCTGTGCCCAGGAAAGCAGGTAAGAAGCCGTCCTCACCTGGGTCTCCGTACGGGGACCCGCGAGGGACATAAAAGCAGAGTGAAAGCAACACCCGATTGTCTCTTATCATTGAAAACTAAATGACAGTTGTTGGTAATATGTCAAACAAAGAACCGGCAAGTCGTAGTTGTATTTCTTTCTCGTTTATTCTGCACCGACAATCAAAAACGTTGGGTCTTTATTTTTCTGTACTGTATTTGCAAATGTCCAGATTTCACACTGAGAGCAAATAAATGTGCATTAACTACAGAGACATCCCACTATGCTATCAAACTTATTTATCACTTTTTTTCATTACCAGTTTTCATCATGTGGGGTTAAATTTTAATGTGAGTCCAGACCATCGCTGTAAGGCAGCACCTCACTTTGGATCCTGGCATTTTTCTCTTGATCATTAGTCATGTTGACGCGGTGCAGGATCGACTCTTCAGCGACGGATATGGTTTCTTCTGAGCTTGTGCTGTCTCCTACAAAATTCCTCTTAATGTCAAAGCCTCATCTGCAACTTCAGCACGTTTCTTCCCCCAATCGAGACGCCTTTCTCATCTTTTCCACGGCTGCAGGTGTTGTCGCTCCCTTGCTCCTTTCTGGCGTACTTAGAACCCAAGCTTGGTGTTTCCTGGTCCATGACAGCTTCCATAACTGCAGCAGGACTCACATTTTATAGATCAGCCAGCTTTTGTTTTTGTTCCAGCCCTTTTAAAATATCTTTTCTCTTGAATTACTCTTCCCAGAATCCTTGACCGCTCTGTCGCTCCATGTGCTTTTCTCACTTGGCGTCTCCACATCACATGCGCAGGGCTTCCCGCAGAGCGTCTTGACAGGAACCCGATGGATGAGATGGGACCGCGGCCAAGGATGCTCATCTCTCTCCCTCCACCGCATCTTTTACTATTTTCCGATCTTGCCGTCTCAGTGGGATCCTGTGAACCTGATCTGCACAGATAATGTTGCTCTGTCCCACTGAGATGGGAATTTGGGGAGGTAAAACGATCTAAAACCGGCGTCTAAACCGAACAGCCCTCATTGAGAACCAGCGTTTGACCTTTTGGCTTTGATGTGAATCCACGTAGAAACCCGTCTCACTTCGAGTCTTTGGAAGTTAAACTCTAATCCGACCTGGTTCCTTTGTTTGGTCTCCCAACAGCTTCAATATGTTCGACTGAATTCTGAGGGTGTCTTTTATATATACTATTTCAATGCCTCACCCCTCACCCCTCGTTGCTTCCTTCGTGTCTATTACCGTGATCTGTTGATCTCCTCGGGGCTTTTCCTGTTGATCCCGCTGTGCGTGGACGGGCATCCGTCAGGGCGTAGCCTCCTCAGAGCTGGCCTCTCTCCAACACCACCCACCCTCCATCCCCAGATTCACTGCCAGGCTCATATCTCCATCCAGGTCTACACAAGGTCACAGTGACTGTTGATTTTATACATCCATCTAGCGTCAGTGAGTCCTGTAGCCCGAGTGAACCCAGCGATGTTCCACAAGGCTTCTCTTTTTCATCCCGGCTCACCTGCTGCGTTCCTTTATGTACGACCAGACGAATTGTGTGATCTGTCACCAGCGTTCCCGAAGGGCTCCATTACCGTCCCTCTCTGTCCTGCCAAATGCTTCTTCTCGCTGCTGAACATGAGGACAATGTCCAAACTCCAACCTGCTCCGTATTTAGACTGCAAGCCTCCGTGTGGGTCCAATAAATAATCCTCCATGCTCAGTCTTTTTCTGGAATTGTTTGCTTATGGTCCCATTCAGGATTTTGAATGACAGTATGGTATTCCCGACTTTAATGGAGGAGCCAAGGATCTCGGCCTTGACAGCCAAAAGCATCAACGCCGGCCCCCTCGCAAAACGTTAGCCACAATTAGAAGGACCGCAGGGAAAGGAATGGCGGCCCACTCGATCACATCGGACGACTGCAGATGTTAAAGCGGCCTTGAGTCCGTCCTACCGGTCGCTGTGCTGGCTGAGGGTCGCTGAGGCTGGGTTTCCTCAGGCTAACACATGTCGTGGGATAAATCATCCCACCTGAAAGCGCCGACTCTCACGCTTCAGCGGCATCGAAAGGAATGTAGCGTTCACTGCTCAGTTCTCATCTGCGTATATGAACCTGAAACCCTCGTAGCCTCGTAGAATGGACAAAACGTTGCCTTCAACCCTAACCAGCGTTCTTTGATTGTGAAGCGGCGGTAACAAGCCGCAGAGGTCAAACCCGCGGCACGGCCCGCCGCTGCCCGGCTTCGTTTGCCTGTTGATAGTTTTATTTCAGTATGAATGATCGGCGAGCACGGCCACCGGGTGTTACCACGGTTTTGCACCCGGCGGCTCACGTTACCGCGGCGTTGGAAATGGAGGCGTGAGGAGAGGGGTGTTGAGTTATCTGTGACCGCACCACAAGAGGCCATTAAATCCTGCCCCTTTTATAAAGACATATAGCCATCTTCCATTTGCTTTTATGATGCAACCATACAAATATGCAACGCTGGGTGTGCCTCAATGAATGGCTATTCTGAACGAGTGGTTAGGGAATACGTCGTATAGGAAGCGTCCTTATATGGAAGCAAGAAAATTTAAGCTGTTATTTCTAATTTTGCCAAAAGCAAAGGACACAGCACATAATGGTGATGTAACAGCCCGAACCATGAGTTGGTTATCTGTGAGAAAGCGCGACTTCAGCGAGAATGACTTACTAAAGCTGGGGGGGGGTAGGGGGGACCAATATTGACCTGGGCGGCCAGTATTGGGCTGGAGGAGGAACAGACAAAAAGAGATTACACCACCACCCTCCTCCACCCCCCGGGGGAGACAAACAGGCCCTGTGAAGTAACGGCACGGTGCACAGATGTCCCCAGAATAAGACTCTCTGCTGTCAGCAGGCCGTGATGTGTGTCCCGCTCACAAGGAGGATCTGGCCTGCGGATTCCTTGAGCTGAAACCTAAGACTTGATGAGTCAGAGCTGAGCCCGCATGCTGCTGTGTGATCTCCTCCGTGTGGAGAATGGCAGCCCGACAGGAGCGTCGATGGAGGGAGGCGACGGAGAAAGATGAGAAGATTTAAAGCGCGCTCACAGACACGGCCGGCGCCACCTTGAACAGTGCTGGTTATTAAAGAAACGCGTTGAGCAAGTTCATCTGAAGCCGTGAATATAGTCTGTGTACATAGAGCGGTACACAGATTCTCTTTGGCTTTAGAAATGTATTCTATTGTATTTAGGTTGTACAACTTTACTATTATCCCTGTTATGGTAGCTTTTATTTTATTTTGCCTTTTAGAGAGAATACGTATCCATAAATACTAAATAAATACATCGGCATACACCGTCTCTTCACATAAATGCAGCTGAAGGAACTTTTATTTTCTCTTTCGCAGGAAGGAAAAACAGCCGCGCAGCAGAAGGTAAATATCAACTGTTTGTGGGATGAAGAGACCCATTACATGGAGGTGGAAGGCGTAATGTAAATGTGATTATCCACTCGACCACCAAGTATTTCCTTCTATTCATTTTGTTATCTCTCCCATCTGTCGCCTCAGAGAATCAGCCGCCTCCATATGAGCCAAATATCCCCGAACCCACCACCAGGGCTGACTTCATGAAATGTGCGGTATTTTTTACAAACAAAATGAAATATGCCAAATTAAATTAAATTGTAGGGGGGATGAAGAGTGTGTAAAGAAGAAAGCTGAATCGTCTTTTTCTTAAATTCATTTTTACAAGCGAGAATGACAAAAGTTGGTGTGATTGTTATGTATTTTGTGCTCTTCTTTTTGTAAATAACACTTTACTGATTTGTGCGGACGGACCTCCTGGCCTCCTTCCTCCTCGCGGGTCACATCCTTGCTGCCTCTCAACCGCTTCCTCCCTCGCCTTCCTCCTCTCAGATTGGCTCCCGTTCTCTCTGGATGAAAGAACTGCACAGAAGCTGTTGTGGATTTCAGAGGGGGGATCCAAAGTGGCCCGCACCTCCGATGCCGTCTGCCCGTATCCCACCAGGCCCGAGAGATATGAGCACTCCCCACAGGTACACACACACTACATTGGTCAGAGGAAAGAGTCACGGCCAACATGTGGCTCGCTACCTAAAGCAATACATTTCATACATTTTTATATACAATTATAAATATATAAATCTGTTATAAACTGACCTCCAGAAACCCAAATCCACATCCCCTTAAACGTTGGGACTCGAGCTGCGGCTCATTCCCTGCTGTGTTCCTCCTGCCTTCCTCCAGGTGCTGTGTAAAGAAGGCCTGATGGGCTACCGGGGGTACTGGGAGGTGGACTACGACGGCTGGGTGGTGATCGGCGTGGTGTTGGAGAGCGCTCCGCGGAAGGGCCCGGACGCCCGGGGTTCATGCGGCCTCGGGGAGAACAACAGCTCGTGGGGCGCCGGCTGGTCCGGCTCCTGCTACCAGGTGTGGCACAACAGCGACAACGTGGACGTCCAGCTCCCCCTGTCCTCCACCATGGGCGTCTACGTGGACCAGCCCGCCGGCATCATCAAGCTCCTGGTGGTGGAGGGCGAGGGGGAGAAGGAGGTCCAGCTGATTCACAAGTTCAAGGCCAACATTCAGGAGAAGATCTTCCCCGCGTTCTGGGTCGGCACAAATTCGTTCTGCCTTCTGAGGAAAAAGGATCAGTGACGGAGCAAAGAGTCGAGCGCGGAGGCGAGGCGGTTTATGGTGTAAATCTGGGGGGGTCAGGAGGGAGGTGGAGAGTTTGAGAAGTTTGGGGAACAATGGAAGCACGTTGTGACATTTGCTTTCTGCGGTTGCATGAAGGAAGCTTGTTCATCTCATACTGTAGACAAAGGCGGCTTCTCCTTTTATTTACCATCCTGTGTGTATTTATTGGTTTTATTCAACTCAGTTTACAATAGCTCATGTATGATTTTATAAAACGCATGTACTGGTGTGCTTGTTTAACTAAGGCATCTTTTTATATGTGCTTAATGTAGTCAATAAACTATTATGTAATATGACTGGCATTACATTATTTCTGCACGATCATGCAAATCAACTCATTTCCTTCCCTCAGTGGAGTAGTGAGGCCCTCTAGAGGCCTTTGATGACATCACACCGCCGAACAAAGATACGACGAGTCTTTCTTTCTCTTGGTGTCGCTCCTTTATTTCAAACATTAAAGTACTTAACGGAACATTTATCTGTTTTGAAAATGTCAGAGACGGACATTTGTTTCTTTAAAACCAACCCATCACTCTCTGTATCTCCCGCTCTCGTACAGTCGCTTTCTCATTCAAAATCAGTCATTTTAACAAGATAACTGGAGCAACCGTTAACGCAGTGTTGATTTACAATCATTCTATCAGTCATTCATTGGCAAAAATAAAAGTACATGTTAGGCGTGTTAGGAGGCGGTGCCGCGTCCTCCAATAACATTTGGAAAAGCCACAAGGTTCGTGTCAAGTCAACAACTCCTTTGGTTCATATTAAGGAATATGTTGTATTTTTGTGGGGGGTGTAAAATATAAATAAACAGCCTGTAAATTTCCTCAGTGAACTATAGCAGCAGGCAGGCGAGACGCCCATGTGACCCCGACGGATCACCGGCTCCTGTGCTAATGCTAAAACTGCAGGCAGATGCTTAGCTTAGCATAAGGACCGGAAGCCAGGCTAACCGCTAGTCTGGCTCTCTCTGAACCAACACTTTTAAACGTGTGTGCCAAAAGAATAATTTAATGTGATTTTTTTAGAGGTGTTTTCAACATCATAGAATCCCGGCTAGGTGTTTCCCTTTGCTCCCAATCCATGCTAAGCTAAGCTAAGATAAGCTAAGCTAAGCATCTCCCAAGTGCAGCTCCAAACTTCTCGCAAAAAAAAAAAAAACATAGCGATGTTAAAACCGTTTCTTTGAGCCGATTCAAGTTTCAGATCCACCGTTTTAGTGCCCTTGATGCTCCGTAACGTGAGGCGCTACACACACACGTCCTGGCGGCCAATCCGGATGTAGTGTTGTGTACTGTGGCGTGTGTAGTGACGGGTGGTGTCATGTGGAAAATGGTAATAGTGTTCACAACGTTTCTTTTCCCTCAAAAGCAAGTGCGTGTACATTTCGCTTCGAGGGAAATAAACGGAGCCGCTAAGCGTTAACGCTGTTTCACATCCCAACCCCTCCTTGGTCAGGACGACCTTCACCTCGCCCCTCTATCCCTTCCTCCTGCCCTCCACTGCCCCCCCCCCCCCCCCCTGCTCGCTCAGTGCTTGAGGGAGAAGTCCCCCGTGTTGAGGCGGGGCCGAGGCAGGGCCCCGAACATCTCGGTCCCGTCCGTGGCTCGGGGGGCCAACAGGGCCTTCATGCTGGCGGCGATGTGGTCCAGGTCCGCAACGCCCATCTGAAGGAGGAACACGCTGCAGGTTAACGTGGATCAGGAGGGGACGCCACCGCTGGCGTGTGGTCGTAGCGTGCAGGCTTTCACATACCAGGCTGGTTAAAAAAAGGACCAAATCTCGACTGAATCTTGTGTAAGCGGTCGTTACGCTGACTGCTTGTGGAAAATATCGGCCTGTCATAACCTTGCGCAATTGTTACGCACACCGTTATGGTCACATGGACTAATGCAGGGGTTGCGGTCATTAGTTGGCGCATCAGGATACGGAGGACTGAATAGCGTCCGCCTTGGTCCACTAACAGCGTGAGAAATAAAACATAAACAGCTTGCTTAATCCCCAACTCTTTCCCTTTATATTTCCTTTACCTGAGGAGGATTGGAAGCTGGTCCATCGGCAAACAACGGTCCAATTACTTCCGAGCCTCGTAAAATATGGGACGACTTTGGAAAAAAAGCCTGTAATTCGGTTTTCGTTGTATCTATTGAATTGAAGCTGAAAGTCTAAATTTCAACCAAATATTGACGGCTTCAGTTCCAATCTTTCGGAGCTACGTAAAGAAAAATGGTGTCAGAGTCCAAATACTTACAGCCCTGACTGTATACTTTGCATTCTTACGTGATGTTGTGACGCTGAGTTTGTACCCTATGGTTGAATGCACTTATTGTACGTCGCTTTGTATAAAAGCGCCCGCTAAATGACATGTAATGTAATGTGATAACTTCTGTTAAGTTAACCTTCAAAGCTGAACAGGTTACCATGGTGATCCACCTCCACCCCCCCCCCCTCCCTCCCCCATTCAAAGAAAGGAAGTTGAGCCCAAAGACGGCCGGCCGACCCGCTGACCCGCCCAGCATTTTAACCTCCTCGGCGTGCGCGCTCACCCGCTCCCCGCTGTTGTTCTCCCCTTGACCTCTGGTTCCTCCGCAGCCCCACACGGGCACCGACACGGGCAGGGAGCGCGCCATGGCCAAGGAGTGGGCGTGGCGGGACGCCAGCGAGGCCTGGCCCATGGCCATGCCGCGCGGCGGCGGCGGCGGGGCGTCCTCGCTCATGGAGCCTGGCAGGCAGGTGGGAAAAGAGCATTGGGTTTGGTGCACTGGTGTGGATCTAACGTGCGACTGCCTTCACCCCCCCCCTGCCCCCTGCCCCCCTACCGTCGGTGCTCTCCTCCTCCCCGTCGGACTCAAAGAACGGCTCGCAGTCCCGAGACAGAGAGTCCTCGTCCATGGAGAAGACACCTGGAGCAAAGCGGCGAGAAAAGCCCGTCAGAAACGTACGCACTGGCGTGGCACTGTGACGCGCGCGCGGATCGACCGGGCGGCTCCTCACCGGCACTTTCGTTCCCGTAAGGCCTCCTCTCGTCCATGTCCTCCTCTTCGTCCTCGTCCTCCTCTTCCAGGTCGGCGATGCCGGACCTCTGTCTGCTCTCCTCGGCCTCCCGGACGCACTTCTCCCGCTCCGCCTCGGAGTTCTGCCCGCCGCCCGGCCCCGTCGCAGCGGCCGAGCTGTAGATTGACGGGTAGCTTTGGGAGTACAGCCTGTCATTGGGACTGACTCCGCCCACCACGCCGTCGCCCGTGAAGCTCTGGAACAACAAGGCAAAAATGAAATGAACGGGAACTTCTCACGCTGGGGAAATGTCGCGGGGAAGCATGCAGCGCGGACAGGTCACTCACCCCTCTGGTCCCGGGGTCAGAGGTCAGGTCGACCACCAGTTTGGTCCCGGCCTGGCGCGTGTGCTTCTGGGCCGTCAGCATGGTCGTGGAGTGCAACACGCCGATGTCGTCCATGTAGCGGCGCGCGGACTCGGCCAGAAAGCCCTGACCCCACGCGCTGTAGGAGAAATCGCACTCCTTCGGGAAGACGCCGCTGCCCTCCCATCTCCTGGTCCCGCCTCCGGCCGGGGGACGGGACTTCTTGCACGCCGTGAGTATTGCCAGATCGCTGCCCGACTTCTGGCAGTACGATTCGGCGGCGGAGAGCAGCGCCAGCCAGCTCTCTCTGTGGTTGTCTGGGATCTCCGGCTCGGAGGACTGGGTGACGGAGGCCATGGCGGTGCGGAGGAGTCTTTACAGATGTTTGAAACGGTAACGACCTGATGAGAGGAGCGAGTAATGCCGATGAAGACGTTGGAAGGTTTAGAAGCTTATCAGAAGCTCGGATAAGGTCGGATTTGTGGGCCGCTGAACTCAAGCGGAAGTCGTCTTTCTCCTGCGCTGCCGGTGTTAGTTTTGTGAAGGGAAAAACGAATGATCTACCAGGAAGGAGGCACCGGGCGACTACAGATGTGACTATCCGTCCTCACACGAGCCAGGGGAGAGAAGAGATGTTGCCAAGCTGCTGGTGATACCTGCAAAAAAAATAAAAGAACAAAGTGTTGACGAACATGTCCCATGTGCCGTTTCAAACCGCGATACGCATCATTAGAAGTGATTTAGCTCCTTATGTAAGATAAGAACCCGTGATTTGAGACGTTGAACCTTTAGCCCTGCTCAAACTACTGTGTCGCATTGTCCCTCTTTAGGGCGATCCGAGCTAAGTGCTGCAGCCGCACGGCGGGTCTGTCCTCTGGACGTGTCCCCGCATCGCTTCCTGTCTCCGTTTGCTCCGCATGCCGCGGACTCGTCCTGCACGGTCGCCGTCGCTGCCTGCAGCTGTTGTTGTTGTCGCTGTTGTTGCTGCTGCTGCTGCTCTCGTTGTTTATTCAGTGTTGTGTGCAGCCTCCTCATGACTGGGACCACATTTTCACCTCCATTTTTCGGCGTTTAACAGGAGCCGAGACCGGCAAATAAAGAACAAATGACGGAAGCGAGGTGAGCCGCTCGCCTACCTGTTCGGTGTCTTGCGTCCACGCCGCCGGATGTTTATCAATCAGAAACTTTACTTGTTTTTTTTGTCAGAGGTATTCCACATTCTCCCACGGTTCTCTCCCCCAGCCAGGCTCTCCACAAGCAGCAAGCCTGCAGCAACACGAAGCGGCCGTTCCGGCGGAGACTTTCAAAATAAAGGTCGTGTCACTCGCGCAGCGCTACGTAAAGAAAGTCAATGGAATGTATATCGGTTCATGTTTGTTTTTTATTTTTCATAAAGAACAGTCAAATGTGGTTTCTTCTGTTTCCACAAGGTACACACAAGGGTATTATGCAATGGGTCTTTAATGTATGATCTTTTTTTTTTCCAGAAAAGCTTCCAGGAAAATAACTACATGTAGTTCAATAAATGGCAAAAATGCTAGGAAATAAAGATAAATAAATAGTTTAGTACAGGTAGTGACAGTGATAATCTAGATGAGTGTAAATTAGTCAGAGCCCAGCTGGTCAGTGGTTCACAATTTTAGCTGAACAAGAAAATGTCTACGCAATCAATCCTGTTATTTTTTTAACATGTCTAGATTTACAAAAAATAGATTTATATGTTTCCTTCTAACAACGAAATAAAGTATAGAACATTTTAGGGATCTGTAAAAATGTTCACTTAATCAATATTATAGACCGGATCACATTCAACATAATCTGTGAATGTATATTTATTTATTTTGTGTTCAATGCCCTTTTTTAATACATTTAAACATGTGGACGCAATTGAACGTAAAGTATACTGAATGCATCACGTGCTCATCCTTATTTATTTTATTTGAAGGCTAATAAAGTCCTATCCGGTTTTGTTTACTTGGCTGACTAACTTCATGCAGCTCTTGCGTCACCTGTTTGCCGACATCCAATCCAACGCACGTTGCTCACGTAACCGAGCCTTGTGGGCGGGCTCGTGCTCGCCTCGTTCTCGTGCACGTGTAAACCCCACCTAAACCTCTACTTGGCCCATCCAGAGCCGTTTAAAGAGAGGGTTGCGTCAGCGGAAGTTCAAACTTCTTAAATATCGAATTATGAGATTCATGACTTCCGATTGTTCCGTTGTCCAGGAAGTACCTGTCGGACTATGCTTACAGCTACCTGCCTTCCTTCCTGTGTGACGTTTTGTAATCCAGTGGATTGCAGATTGCAGGATTATACATCATCTGTTTTTTCTAACAGATATGAATCTAACAGATATGAATCCTAATAACGTTTCCTCTAATGTCCTTGTGAGGTCGAAGGTTTAATCTGTCTAATACTTTGAATTAGGACCAAACAACAAGGCTGCTACCTCCAGTTCTGAAAAGTAAAAGTAAAGACCATGTGAAAATGCATTGTTTCTAAAAGTCACCAAAGGGTCACTACTTTGGTTGCAAACAGAAATTGAAGCGGAAAGCCCCATGCCTCCCTTTTTACTATTATTATTATTAATAGAAGCAAGAATAATCATCTTTATTTTTATTCCTGAACTTTCTAGAAACCACACTCCCCGGGGCGGTAGGTGGCGCCGTGCACCGTAAACGTTTGAAGACTGCAGCTGAATTAAATAAGCAGAAGAAGACGAGCGCCTCATTGGACGCCTCTGGTGCTACATAACCAACAGTTATCAGCCGTTTGTCCGCAAACATCTGGACAAATTGGAGGAAGTAGGACCGCAATTGAAAAAGCCTTTGTAGCTGTGCGGTGGCTTAGTCTACGTCACACACACACATACACCTGAGGGGATTTTGTGTGGTTATCTCGCCCAGCGGCTAGTTGACTGCTAAATCAGAGAGCTAGCCAGCCAGCTAGCTAGCTAGCTTACTGGCTAGTTAGCTTACGGCAGCGCCATAAGAAGAAAGTGGGAAACAAACGTGCTGGCGGATCGATTTAAGGTGCCGAGGCTGCGGGTGTCTGCGGCGTAAACCACCACAGGTGCAAGAATGAATATCGCTAAAAGTGGATATCGCGTCTTTTCCGCAAACTCCTCTGTAGCGTGCACGGAGTTGGCCAAGAAGATAACAGAGTAAGCACAGCTGAGTCTTTTTTACGTTACGTGTAATTTAGTTGACTCTTTTATCCAAAGCGACTTAAAACAAGTGAATTTCAACCACAAAGATGCAGCTCTTCTTTAATGATTCATTACACGAACGAATGAATCATTAAATGTCCCGATCGGGTGCGTTACATGTGCGCTCCCTTCACAGGCGGCTGGGAGTCGAACTGGGGAAGTCGGTGGTCTTCCAGGAGTCAAACCGGGGTGAGTGGAGCGCTTCAACCCGCTGTGGATGCGCGTAGTGTACGGCGCGTAACGCAAAGCGGGAAAGTAGACCTATCTTAATTCTTCTATCGAGTCACTTAGCTGGTAAAAAGTAAGTAAAACCGTTAACTGGTTTTGATTTTGAGTAATTAACTGAACGGCCAGCTGCCACGCGGACCACCAGAGGAGCTGAGCCCCCCCCCCAGCGTGACCGAATTCTTTCCATCACAATAGAAACCAGAGTGGATGTGAAAGAATCCGTCCGAGGACAAACGATCTTCATCATCCAGACCATACCCAGGTGAGCTTCAGTGAGACCTTCTGGCAAGGATCTTGTATCACTATAAAGTCTAAATGTCTGCCCCCCCCCAACTTTACCAGGGATGTCAACACGGCGATCATGGAGCTGCTGGTCATGGCCTACGCGCTCAAGACGTCTTGTGCAAAGAACATCATTGGAGTCATTCCTTACTTCCCGTACAGCAAACAGTGCAAGATGAGGAAGAGGGGCTCAATAGTGAGCAAGTTGTTGGCTTCGATGCTGGCGAAAGCAGGTACGGGGGAACAACACAACTCTCTACCTGCGATCTGTGTGCTTTGTTTCTTACCTCGTCTTTGCAGGGATTCGTTTGATTTAATATTCCTTTTGTTCCCCCAAGGACTGACGCACATCATCACCATGGACCTGCACCAGAAGGAGATCCAGGGCTTCTTCAGCTTTCCCGTGGACAATTTGCGTGCTTCTCCTTTCTTGATTCAGTACATCCAAGAAGAGGTGACGAGCGCGGCGGACTGTTTGACTGCAGTCGTGGTGACCACATCAACCTGACGTGACATTGACGTTTGGCTTTGTCTTTGTCAGATTCCTGATTACAGAAACGCCATCATCGTGGCAAAGTCCCCGTCGGCAGCCAAGAGGTAGCGATGGCTAAACCTAATCATCACCTCCGTGTTAAAATAACATTTCAATGGTCTTAACATGGCCGCCGTGTGGGCTTTATTCGACGCCGGATGTTGTTTGCAATGCGTGTGCTGTGTCTGCTTGTGTCCAGGGCCCAGTCCTACGCTGAGCGCCTGCGTCTGGGCCTGGCCGTGATCCACGGCGAGGCCCAGTGCTCGGAGTCCGACATGGCCGACGGAAGACACTCGCCGCCGTGTGTGCGCAACACCACGGGACACACCGGTCTGGAGCTCCCGCGTAAGAACAAAAACACACATTCTGACCACCTCTGGCTTTTTTTTTTTTTTTTTTTGGCAGGTTGATGTTTATTACAGCAAACGTTTCCCTGCTAAATTTTCTCTGACGGTTTGGATCGCTTTTCGTGTGTGATACCGCGGTCAAATCGAGGCCGACATTTCTGATTATTCCTGCTAGTTTAACAACTCCGTGCTCAGTTCATTCACACGTGGGCGTCCTGGCGACAAACCAACACGGCTTCTTTCTGTGCTGACCTGTTTTGAGCTGACGATTCTGCTGTTCCTCACTCTCACCATCCACCATACTTCAAAAAACCCGATTTCCTGTGTTGCTGCATGTTTTAATTACAAAGATCCACTACATTGACTCATGCTGCATCCAGGCTGCAACGCCTAACCTGCCTAAATATCACTGACCCGTAGTCTGCGCCATTTCATGGCACACGGCGTCATTTATCTTTGGTGAGAAATACTAACGTTACCCGTGTAGTTTTGAACATAGCTGCTGTGTTTTATTCTCGGTTAAGCAATCTCAATGGAAATATTGAATTATTGTGTCGTTGGCAAATGACTGTGAGCACAGTGTTCATTTAATTTAGCAAAAATATTTCTTGTTTTTATTCTCACCCTTGACTTTAAAAATCCTCTTACTGAACAGCAACAGATAATTGATTTAAAAAAACAAAACAAAGACAGGAGTTGTTCCGCAGCGACGTAAGAGGATTTTCCAAGTCTCGGCATCATGTGTTTGTCATGTCAAATATTTGTGCATTTTTGTGTTAACGTGGTGTTTATTTGTTGGTAATAGCAGGCAAACAACAAGCTCCGTTCCCCGGCATAGAGCTCCCAAGTACGGCCGTAAACGTAACTCCCATCTGAAATGATTCCTCTTCAAGTGGCTCCTTGATTGGTGCATGCGTGAAAAGGGTTTTTGTTTTCGTCTTGTGGAAACGCAGTCTGGATTCTTGATTGGGGAAATTTAGGAAAAAACAAATATATGTTGGTGCTCGGGCGGTTTGCTTTGACAAACCTTTTCCAATCGGAGTCCGTCCGTCCGGCGCGCGCCGCTCTTGGAGAAGCAGCTCACACGTTCTCTGCGCCGTACAAAGATTCCAGAAAGTTGTTCTACAAGACAAACCCCCCCCCCCCCCTTTTTTTTTGGTTCTGTGGTGTTCTGATTTCTATTTGAAAAAGCCATTAATCCAAGCAGAACCATGGCAGACATTTGTTTTGGTTAATCCTTTTTTGGGTGGTTTCCTTTATCTGTACTCATCTTGCCCATCCACACATGGTGCATCCATATCAAACCCACTCTTGAAAAGCTGGTTAACCTTTTGGTCCTAACTGCATGTGATGATGGTGATGACGAAGCATGCTTTTAAAGTTGGTGAGAAGAAACTTAACGTCTGGGATTTTGGAATGTTTTAGGAATTAGATTTAAATTCAAAATCAAGTATAGTACTTTTATTGATGGTATTTAAAACGATAAAATTGTTTTAAATTTGCTGATTTAAAATCGATTTATCTCTCTTGGGGAAACGTTGATTTAATATTCTACCCTAAACCACTTTCATGTTATCTGACCAAACGTTTCTCGGCGAGCTGTAAGCACAAGATGTCTTGCAGCACGTGTGTGCGCTCTGCCAACAACGTGGCTCTTGTTGTCTTTGGAAATGGGGCCTTGAAGCCTGAATGTGACTGCGGCAGGTTGTCTGATGCTGTGGGACTCGCGGCATTCAGCAAAGGGCTCTGCGAGGCATGCCCCCCCCGCCCACCCGACTGCTTCTCTGGACCCTTTTTTCTTTCACAATCAGCTTCACTGCCTGATTGTCTGCCGGTGGACTGTTTTCCTTGAATAACTACATTTACATGCACAACAAAGCTGCCATTGCTGCTACTTTTTAAAATGTATATATAATAATGTCCTAGATCCAGTTTGGACACCTGGTGCGCTAAACAAGTCTCAGGGAAATCATGCCGCTGTGTTGTTATTGGTGGACGGGGATCCGCCCACAGTGACAAAGGACGCCGTGTAAATGGGAACAGTGAAGTCGTCGCGCGATGCGTGATGGCGGTCCAGCGGATGCAGCCCGCATCTCTCGTTGTCGGCATGTGGGACGGTGGCGGCGGCGGAGAGTTGTGTGCATGTAAAAGTAGCGTCTGCCAGCAGCGATGTGCGACTGAGGACCGACCCCAGAACATCGCTGCGCGTGTGTTCATGCAGGAGCCTCGTCAGCCACTCTGAAACAATAATGTCTGGTCCCTTTTGGTTCATATGCAGACAGCTGCCATATGCCTGCCCCAGCGTGTGCGTGTGTGTGTGTGTGTGTGTGTGTGTGTTTACATTGCTCTGATTGGGTATCCTGGGTAGAAAACCCTCATTTGATTTTGCATGTGCAGTACTAAGTTTGGCATTTGGCTTAAGCCGCTGAAGCGTAGGTGGGGTACAATGGGGGGAAATAATTGAAACCGTTTTGAACTTCTTAGACTAATTCTACAAATCTATTTACTTTTTCCGATTTCTTTTTTCCAAAATTGCAAAAACCTTTTCTCAACCCAATTTACCCAATCTACTGACACGCGGTGCGCTGATCCTTTGCTTCACGTGACCCGCGGTGCTTTTCCTTCCCAGTGATGATGGCCAAGGAGAAACCTCCCATCACGGTGGTCGGAGACGTGGGCGGGAGAATCGCCATCATTGTGGTAAGATTCCCCCTCTGCAGCAGGACGGCTTTAGAAATACAACATTCATTCATGCTCCATTCATCTTTGTAGAATTAATCAAACTTTCTTTGTGTCACAAGACGGTTTAATTCACAGACAATAAAACACAGATGTTCTATTCAGTATAGCAAAATACTGGAGTTTTTTCATTCGTCTCTGCTTCCTTCTTCCAGGATGACATCATAGATGATGTGGGGGACTTTGTGGCAGCTGCCGAGATCCTGAAAGAGAGAGGAGCCTATAAGATCTACATCATGGCCACGCACGGCCTTCTGTCTGCCGACGCGCCGCGCCTCATCGAGGAGTCGGCCATCGACGAGGTGAAGACGCCTCTGCGTGTTTTATTACTTTTTTTTTTAATGTATTTAAAAAAAATTAACTTAAGCACAATAAAGAGTTGATACGTCCTCCTAGTGGACGAGTTTAGAGCTGCGTTATGGTCTAACTTATCAATTGTTCAGAAAACCGTCGCTATAGCAACCTTTCTCCACTGTTGTTTCCCCCCTCGCTCCCAGGTGGTGGTGACCAACACCGTCCCCCACGAGGTGCAGAAGCTGCAGTGTCCCAAAATCAAGACGGTGGACGTCAGCATGATCCTGGCCGAGGCCATCCGCCGCATCCACAACGGGGAGTCCATGGCCTACTTGTTCCGCAACATCACCGTGGACGACTAGAGGGTCAACACGCTAACGCCGTGTTTCCGTGTGCTTGTGTCAGGTTACATGTTTTGCCAAATTCATCGAAGCGCGTTTGAATAGTAAGAGTCACTCCCGACTTATTGAAGTAAAGCTAAAGGTGTGAAATGGTGTTGCAGAGGTTGAGAAATGCGTCTGGTTCTTTTTGATGAAGGAGCAAACAAACAACGCGCAGCTTTCATGCATTCTGTCATATTTGGAAAGCGCTTCTCGCCTCGCTGCTTCTCCAACTTGAACAATAGATGCTTTGTATTTAAATCAGTGATCTGAGGTACCGCGTGACTAATGACTGAGCATCAGCTGCAAAGGGGAAGAGAACGGGACTAAAGCTCATTGATGCCTAAATTACATTTTCACGCAGCGGTTTTTGCAACGTGTTTGGTCATTTTAGGTCTGTTAAAAACGAAGGAATCGTCATTTTATATTGTATATTTTAGGGTCAGTTCCTTCCTACTTACTGGTCGAATGACCTCGAAGGATCGCTTTGGTTTCCTGCTGCTGTTCCTGTCTGGTTGCTGCTGTAACGCAACACACTTGAGTTTCAGGTCATTTCACTTCAGATGCAAATGATCAAAATGTAATGTTTCAAATGTGTGGCTCAAATAATTGAAAATGTATTTAACGACGAGGTCTTTGGGTTATTCAGAGAACCTTTTAATATTTTTGGAACGGTGGGTATTTAAGATGTAAACGCATCAAAGGTTTAACTTGTACTGAAGCAATAAGTGACTCATTAAAACTATTGTTTGCTTATTTTTTTGGATGGACTGACCCTTTGATAATATCCTCGATCCGCAGTAGACTGAACACAGTGCTCATCATTTAATAGACGATGTGTACACTGACTGAATTGCATAAAATACCAAATGGTCCCGTTTGTTTGTTGTAGCCAATCAACTACAAACGAGAGGTGAACACAGCCGCTCGTCGTCTTTTTTATTTTTTTTTGTGGATTTCAGTTTTTAAATTTTTTTTTAAAGTGCTTTGTTTAACCTCCGGCTTGGTTTTCCTCATCGTCACAGTTCTCCTGTGGTTTGCTCGTTTACTCTTGCATTGCTGGAAACTTAATTCTCCCAGCTGCAGCTTATCAAAAGTAAACCACTCAACCCGTTTGGACTCGTGTATTTAACCCCATCGCAGCGGCCGCGGTTGCATTTATGAATATAGCGGATTTAGTGGAACTATGGATTGATCTTTTCTTTTGGCCGCTCACTTCACCCCAGATAACATCATGTGCAGATTGCTGTGGCATTTTCCCGTTGAAAAGTGATGCTGCGGAGGAAATGCGTGTCTTCCTCCTCTGAGGGGCGCGTGCACAATTATTTGTTCTTGTGTTTATGAGGGTTTGTTCCAATTGTGGAGAAACGTGTCTTCCATTCAGCAGTACTGTTGGCGTTTGTCCCCGTGTGCGTCTCCCGGAGAGCGGGACGTGTCCCGTCCTGTTTTTTTGTGAAGCTCTGCAGCGTTTGTTAATGTGAATTCAAATAAAACCGTTGCCTCTCGCTGTGCCTCGTCTCCACTCCGTAAGGAACCGTTTGAAAAGTGCCGCATTTTGTACATGAGGAACTTTCTCATATTAAATTGTAGAAAAGCTTCAGCATTAATCTTGACATGCCAATTAAATCGGTCAAATACTTATTTCTGATTGGACATTTGGATTTTAAAAGGCCTACCTTTTCAGTTCCACGCGCAGCAACGCGTGTGTGGTCATCAATCAACACCCCTGATGTGACGGTCGGAGATCTTACACTTGTTCTAAGCTCCCCAGGTTCCTAAACAACACTGAGGAGCTTTGACCAAGTCTAGGAGCAGAGACCAAATCCGCCTTCGGGCGGTCCCTGAACGTAACCGATAGACACCCCCCCCCCCCCCCCATATAGATGAGCGATTTGTCTCCTGAAGCCTGTGAGGAGACGATCTGCGTCCGTCCGTGTGCCCAAACCAAGTGTTCTCGTGCTGCTTCGAGTTTAAACGGGACGCAAAGAGGAACCAGGGATCGGACGAGGGCAGCGGACTTCCTCGTCCCCCTCTGTGGAGACAATGCACCTTGTAGCTCAACTGCTTTGGAAAGAGGAAGCGCACCCTTTTTTGTTTTTTTTTTGTCGCCCTCTCTGTGCCAGTTTGGCCTTTTGGGCTCATGAATTGCTCTTTAGAGGACACGGAAGCGTGATGCACTAAATGAACTGATCCTTTGTGTCTATTGGCAGGTGGAGAATTTCTTACTTTCATAAACTCAGTTATTTGAATTGTGTGTAACATAAACACCGTAAGATAAAACATGATTCATGGGACTGTTTGAGCAGCGTATCTCGTTTTCTTGTCACTAGATTCAGACATTGAGGAAGTACGAATCGATTCCTCAGTTCTCTTTTTGTCTTTTTAAAAAATATTGTTTCAAAATATCTGCTTCCTTGTCTCGATGTATTGCGAACGTTCATTAAAACACAGATCAGGGAATTGACGTGTTAGACCGATACAATGAATCCATAATTTACTTTTATTTCACCAGGATTACCCATTTATTAAGGGATCATTGATCACAATGAACACCAATCACAGACATGTTGGCAAAGTGACTCAGCACTTTTAAAACTTACATTTCTGGTCAGACCAGCGCTCAAGATAACAACACCGTGTCACTTTCATCAAATACGCCATTTAATGGACAAGTTGATCCATTTGCCAACACAGAATGAATTATTATACAATTGACGGCACACAACAATAAAAAATGTCCTACTGCTCCAAACTGACTTGTTTTGTTCTTTATTCGGGCTGCGATAACTTACTCTAAAACATACCCCGATCATTTATTTGAATCACAACATAAAAACACACACGTTTCCTTTTGGTCTGCTCAGAACCGCCCACATTAACATTCACAGTGGCTAAGATGAGCATCAATGTGACTGAAGTTATTACCAAAGGTTTTAATTTTTTTTATTTCAAATAAGCACTCCAGAAGATGATCCAATATCTCCTTGGTCTCTGGTGCTTTTATTGTGAAAATGACATTTTAATTCTCCCGCTAGGACAAAATGATTTATCAGTCGGACACACAAAGACCAAAAGACACCACCTGCAGGTATGTATTTAAAAATGTCAGTACAATAAACCCCAAGTGACACACAATAATTCACAACACAATGTTTGCAGCGCTGCTTTCAGAAGATGAACGATGTCTCTCTGTTGTTCACCTCGTAAAGCAAACCACACACACACACACACACACACACACACACACACACACACACACTTTGTCACCAACACGCATCACTTCACAGCTGCTGCGCATTTCTAACCCGAAACACATTTCAGTGAAAATGATGCAGCTGCTTCCTCTCTGACGCGGTTTATTGGAGCATCGTCTCATGATTTGCATCATTGGAACGGTTCAACTCTCCTCTCTGTGGGCATCTGGTTGTCATGGCAACACCGTAGCATTAGTTTGACAGACCGACGTGTTTCTCCTCAGAGTCTAAACACTCTCAGCAGCCTCTTGGTATGTGCGCCCCCCCCCCCCCCCCCCTCTCCTTTCTGTCTCTGCCCTCCGAGCGGCCGCGCGTCATTACGCGATGAGGCAGCTGTTGTTCTTGTTCAGAGGGGGTCTTTTGGGGCTCTCCTTGGGGATGGTCTCCCGTCTCCGGCACAGCGCCGGGCTGAACCGGCTGGGCAGGTTCGCCTGCTGGAGCAGCTCCCTGAAGGCCTCCCGCACGTTCACGTTGTCCTTGGCGGAGGACTCCAGGAAGCTGTGGTTCCACTCCAGCGCCACCGTGGACAGCGCGTCCTCGCTGGACACCCGGCGCTCGTCGTGGCGGTCCACCTTGTTGCCTATCACAACAATGGGCGTGTACTTGTCCTCTTTGACCTCCAGGATCTCGTCGCGCAGACTCTTGACCGCGTCCAGGGATGCGGGGTCGTCCACGGCGTAGACCAGGGCGAAGGCGTCGCTGCTCTGGATGGAGAGTTTGCGCATGGCGGGGAAGGAGTAGCTGCCGCTGGTGTCCATGATGTTGATGGTGACTTTGACGCCCCCCACCTCGTACTCCTTCCTGTGCAGCTCCTCCACCGTGCGCCGGTGCTTGGGTTCAAAAGTGTCTTGGAGAAAGCGCTGGATCAGGGCCGTCTTCCCAACTCCAGCCGCCCCCAGAAAGACGAGACGCACCTCGGTCTTCTCCTTCACCTCAAAGGACATGATGATTTTTTGTTTCTCTCCAAAAACAGCCCGTGGAAGCAGAGAAGTGTTTGGATGTCAGCAGGGGTTCAGTTGGATGGTGGTTGTACATGCATGTGAGCGTCCCTGCACGCCTCCGCTCTTTATTTATCTCTACACATCACCTGCCCCCTTTTCTGCTGTCAGCCAATCAGGTGAGCGCCGTGTCTCGCTCTCCCTGAGGTTGCAGCGGCCAATCACAGACGCTCGTGCCAGTCAAGAAGAGTAAAAAAAAAGAATGGATGAGAGAAGTGATTTTACTAAAAGACCTGTGTGTGAAATACAGTCTTCTGCTCCAGTGAGAGGTGGTGGATAATCAATACAGCCAATCGTCCATCAATCATTCATCTCCATAATACATCACCGTTGTAGTAGTTGGTTGAATGTGCAGAGACATCAACGGACTCCATCTGAAGATCTGGTGGTTTGATGGAAAGCTGCAGAGAAGCTAAAAGTTTTTGGGGAGACGGTTGTGTCAAGTGAAGAGGAATCTGGACGGTAGATTTTATAACCACAGGCACATTTAAGCCCCAAATTTAGGAAAAAAAGAAAGTAAAAAACAACAAATTGGGCGGAACAATTAAGCTTGTCTTAAGATATTGAACCATTTCGCTTCACGTCCCCCGTAGGGAGGTTCCTCATTGTCAATCCACGCACTGCTCACATGTCCGGGTGTTCTGAGCCTCTGAAGGACGAGATGAATTCAAACCATTTTCTCCATCACCGAGCTGTCAAATGTGTGGAAAGCTTCATGCTTTCCATTCGTTTCAGACACACTTAGTTGAAAAGTAAACTGATAACACGCACATCGTCTCCTCTCGCACGCTCTCGGTTTGTCAACTGTTGCTAAGACACCACCTGCAGTCACCCATTAGAACCCAACCGTTCGCTCAGGAGGACGGTAACTATGCTGCACACGTTGTTTCTGTTTGAAAATAAATCCCAATTCCAGCCCATTTTGCTGACGTTGCACCCGGCCGCCTTTTCGCGAGCTGCCAGCCAGCAGCAGCATCCGGGACGTCACGTGTCCCTGACCTCTGCTTCCTCCTCTCGACGGAGCTGGTCCGTGAACCGAGGCTCAAGGCCCTTGAGCCACATGTCTCCGTCTCTCGTCACACACAGAGGGACGGGGTCTGCATGGCGGCTCGTAGGCCACAGTGCAGTGCCACTGTGTGAATGTGCACTGTGAAGGAAGGAAGGGACGTGCAAGTGGAACCTTGTCTTTTAAAGCAGCTCCAACTGGATTTACTGGTCACTTTGGGTTAAGAGAACAATGGGAGAACACGCCGCTGCCATTTGGTGCCATTTTTTTCTTCTCAGAAAACAGCTCTGCAAAAAAAAGAGCTGCGGGACTCAATCAAAACACGAAAGTAGCAGGTTTATAAAAACCAAAATAATGAGAAACCACATCCGGATGATGAGTTTCGGTGGACTCTTGCAGGCGACCACTTTCACGATCATTTAATCGTCTGCTAAAATACTGATTTGTTTCAATTAAATGAAAATCTCAATCTAAAACTGTCACAACGGTGTCCCAAATTTCTGCAGGGAGAGATTGATTTCAATTATCTTCCATCAGACAATATTCACTCGTTATGTTTTATTTCATTCATTTTCGCTGACACGAGCTGGGCTGCCGGTCACCCCCCCCCCCCCCCCCTCACTGGGTCCGAGGTGCTAGTTTTCTAATGATGGGTGGGTGGTAAAGGCTGGAACAAATTGTTCTCAGAATACAAGGCTTTTTTTAAATTATTATTTCGGCACAGTGGAGGGCAACCGACTCGGTTTGTGCGCTGCCCACCAATTAAAGAATAATCTTTGTAGAATAAAGGCTTCCCCTTATTGTGCGTAAGATAACCTTTACCTCAGCAGTGTTTGATCAGCGAATATTAGTTTGCGAGGATCTAAAAAGCAACAGAAGGGCTCGTCAGCAATGTGTGTCTCCCTGTGGGTTGTGTGTATTCAGCAGGGTGTGTTGGAACGAGTTGTCGATCACGCATCCATGTTGCGTTGTGACTCGGGCGACAGGCCATCCTGTCAATATGTGGCACTTGTAGTTTTGTCATTTTTGCAAAAAGGGGCTTGTACCAACTGTTAACACGAGCATGCCGACGTAAATAAACGCAGCTGTTATACGGACGCTGACCCGCCAAACGCTGCACCAAGCTGCCAAGTCATTTACTCTTTGCGGCCGAGCCAAGTGCCCAATTCAAGCACCGCACTCCGGGGTGAAGTCTGTAGGATATTAGAAACAAATATACGACCCAGTTCATAAAATTAATGAAAATGCATATAGTGCACACCAGAATACAGCCATGATTCTGAAACTGTGTAATCCATAAAGTAATGACAATATTGTAAAACTACTGTAATTCTGCAACTGTAATAAAATAATACCAATGTAGTTATGATTGTATTTGATGTAATGTAATCAACTGGAATGCATGCATGTAATACTTGAACAACAACTGATATTGACTGAGGGTCATTCGAAATCCGAGTTACATTGAACTCACCAGAAGACTCCCAGAGGTGTGGACACTGACTTTCACACCTTTAAGCATTGTTATAAATACCTGTAGGAACCATTGTTCTAGAGTTCACTGGTGGAGGCGACAGACGGGCACTAGGGATGGTCAAAGGACTGACCTGGGGCCTGTTGGTCGCTGAGACCAGCGGCTCCTCAGCGGAGATGTTCTTTTTACCACAACACCATCTCCTTTATTAAATACATTTGATTTTAACTTTTCGATCAGCGAGGACCTCTGGCCGTCCGGCGTTTCTTCATTTTTGAACACAACAAGTCTGAACCACGCGGCTTGTTTGCCAACGGATGAAATGTGAGGTGGATTTCCTAAGTGGGCTATTATTCCCATTCACTGGAGCACAAATGACTATTTACACGATCCGGAGCTCATCCCGTGAAGCACAGACCCTTCTTTTTGTGCACGGACCACGAAAGCTCCCTGACACCGGCCCACTAATTTCTCCTGATCCGTTCTTTTCATGCAGGGGCTTTGTGACTTTGAGAGCGCGCGCATGCACGCCACTCTAATGAGTGCGCGCGTTCCAAGCGCCTCCTCCCTCTTAAATTGGCCGACACGTCCCCTGATATTTGGCCATTTGGCTCCGGGACACCATGTCCTGGATAAGAGGTGGTGGTGGGGGCTGAAGCAACAACAAGCAGCCAGCAGTGTGGTCACCTCGCTGCAGCAGAAGCTGTTCTTTCCATTGGGGAGGCATTAGTTGTTTTCGTTTAAAAGGTTCTGCCTGTGCATGCGTGTGTGTGTGTGTGTGTGTGTGTGTGTGTGTGTGTGTGTGTGTGTGTGTGTGCGCTTGTAGTATTAACCTTTGGGGCACACCCACGCCAGTCATGTAACACGTTTATTTATTTTATCTCTCCAATAAAGCTTGACGTCAACAGATTATGATGTGACAAAAACAAGGTAAACGTCCGAATTAACTCCTCTTCACGTTTCAGAATGATGGGTGAGTAATGGACACCCAAACCTCGTCCCCCTTAGTTACTGTTGCTACAGCTGGTCAACACCCCGTTTCTCTCACATTGATGATGGCGGCAGATTTTACTCTCTAAATTTGCAGTAACATAAAAAAAAATTTATTATTTAAAAAAAGTATTATTATTATATTAAATGAATTATAGAATTATTATTATAATAAATAATAATTTAATAAAGCAGGCTTTTCATTTCAGGCCCACTGTCACCACCTTTGAGCTAAAACCTGGACGCAAACGTCTTGCAGCAGAGCAGACGAAGACCCATTTTTTCAAATCTGGTCCTCGTCCCGTTGTTTTTGCAAAGGCGATCAAAACAAACATCCCCACCCAAACTGTATGCTGAGCACAGGACTTGACTCACCCACGTGCGCATGAACATGTGGCAAAATCCAAAGCGCTCTGGGCCAAGTTGTGGTTGCTAAGTAATTATTGGCGGTTGGTGTGGAGGGTTCAGCGAACTGACCTTGGTGAAAAATCATTTTTTAAATCCTCGAACCAAACCTAAAGCGCCAGCGGGTGAGAACCAAGGCGGCTGCACGGCATACCAAGTGGTTTCCCCCCACTCTGTGCTTTTCGATTAGCGCCACCAGCCCAACAACAATGGTGTCACGCCTAATTGTTATGATACCGTTCAATAGAATCAACACTTTTTCTCCGGACACCAAATTGGAATTTAATCGTGTTCAGAGGTTCAGACGCTGGTAACATTTTAGTCTCGCGTGTAATGGAAGAAAAAATGTCCCTTCTTTTGAGTTCCATCTCCGTTACCAGTTAAAACAGCATGAGCGCCATATGCAAATGAGCGTAGCATTAGCATAAAACTAGCTGCGGGGAGGATAACCTGCTCCTGAGAGAGATAAAGAGAGAGCGAGAGAGTAGAGATAAAGAGAGAGAGAGAGAGAGAGAGAAGTAAAGAGTATTCGGTTTGTCAAACAGTAACGACATTCAGTCCTCTGGTTCCATTCGTTTTCTCACAGATGTTCACAGAAGGTTTCTACTTTATTTACATTTCTAATCTACATGTTAGTATATGTAAATTAGAGTACCACCGTAATTATTTTTTAATCTGCGTTCAAATTCCGTCACAGGAAGTGAGCTCAATCACATTGTGCAACCGCTGACGTTCATGGATTGTTTTTAAAGGTGGTATCAAACCTCAGTCACGCACGCTTTGCTCATTCCTCTTACTCATTCGTTTTTGCTCCCTCATGTTGGTGTAGGCGCTTGGTTTTACGCAATCATGTGTTGAATATGATCCCACGGGAAATAAAATTGTTTGTTTGTAAAAAAAAATGTGTCTCTCCTCCGATTCAGCCATCAGCTACATGGATATGAGAAGATCCTAAACGGCTCCAAGAAGACACACCGAAAAGCCCCCTGTGTAGGTTCAATGGCGCATATATGCAGTTACATGTGTTTAAAATCATCCAGACAGAATCCTGCGATGAAATGGAAGCCTGGTTTCTTATCCACCTGCATGACATTATTGTACAGTGTCACAGCAGCGGGTTTTTCCTCACATTGACATTTCCACCCCTCCCGGTGCACAACAAGCTGTCCGGGGCCCCCGGGGCCGGTGGTAACCATGTAGGAATAGATAAACAAGCATAAGCTGGATCAATTTGACCGACCTAAAGAGACAGCAGCGGTTTGCGCGGTGGCCTGTGGATGCCAGAAATAATTCACATTTCTGAAAACACACATGCACACGACGTGTAACACTCGTCTGCCATTTTCTTCAGTCCACCTTTGACTCCCGTTGCCTTTTCAGTGCAGTTCTTTCCTGAAATGGATGTTTTATTTTCATAAAAATCGTGCTGGGAGCTGGTGACGGAGACAGACGATGGCGGTTCTGTGAAGTTATTAGATCATTGACAACTTATGCAAACATGCTACGTTCGGGGAAATTGAGTATTAAGTCCCACGGGGAGAATTACTTCATAGACGTCTCTTTGTTTTCCATCTCTGTGCAAGTCAGACACATTATCTAATCTAAGTACTTTGGTTTGTGCCTTTTTCAAGGTTTACTCCTTCTTCAACCACTTTATACCTCCGGGCACCAAACAAGGTTACATACGAATCCCCTGGACTGAGATGAAGACGGTATTTCTGTCCTATCATTTTATTCTACAATGTTTCGGAACAAAAAAAACAATGATTATGTTTCACCATCAAGTAATAATACTGAAAAGCTGCTGCTTTGAATAAACACACAGGCTTGTAAACCGAATTCTAATTGTATTTATTTAGCTAGAACAAGCCAGAAAAGTAGCTACTGCCAAAATGGGAATTCAATAAACATTAAAAAATGTACATTTTAAATATCTTGAACATCTGACCGCAAAGAAAGAGTTTGAGAAGACGCGGTGACGCTGTGGGACTCATCTGGTTCCATCTGCTGGCAGCAGACGTTGAGCTCGCCAGATTAAACGGGACATCAACAAAAAAACTTTCATGATGATAATTCAGAAGTAGAAATTGCTCGTGTAATTTACACAATCAATGACGTGATCTATTTTTCAGTTTGAGCTGTGACCTTCAGCCTGGATCCTCTGTGGAGCTCCTGACCTTTGGCTCAATCAGGTGTAGAGCGCAGACACACACACACACACACACACACACACACACACACACACACACACACACACATTATAACATGGTGTAAAAAAGTAAATGTCAATGAAAGGAAATATGATAAAAACAATGCATTTGATGAAATATAAAAAGTAGTGGTTATAGTTGATAAATAAACAACACCAAAACAACAAGCCAATATACTGCAACCTAATCAGACATAATAAGATTCTTTTCCCTTCTTTTGTTTGTCATCAGGATTAATGATTATTATTGGAAAACAGCCAACTGCAATTAGAAGATATCAACTGTTGTATCTTTAGGCATAATTGTTATAAAATATCGATGTTTGTAACAGACAAACTTATTTATGGCTTTTCAAAATACTAATGAGAGTCCAAGTGAAATTAAATGTTGCACTTGACTAGCATTCGATTGCTGTGTTTATTCTTATCTGTGTCCTGCACCGCTGAATATTAGTAAAAGCTAAAATTAAAAAAGATTGCATTCATTTTCATAGAGGTAGATTTGTTTATTTGGTTCATCATTAGCTGTTCCCATGGCGACGGAGCCTCGGTTCCTCGGGTCTGTACCAAACATGTGGGCTCCAAACCGCATATACTCACCTTTCCACTGACAATCCCCTCACACCCAGAACGGCACAAATACATCAACGTCAAGATGTGAAAGACCACATCTCAGGCTGGATCAACTTGAGGCGCAAATATTGCAAATAAAGTTAAAATAAAACATGTTTTGAATTTGATGGAAACGTTAATGGAACTGTTTTACTACTAGACGATTCCTTCCTGGTTTCCACATCTTCCCCCGCGCTGCACACCGTGTGAGTGCGTACAGTGAGCGTTGTGGACGCAGTGTGCGTTTGGATCCACGGATGGAGAAATGCAGATGATCGGAGCCTCGACAACCGCTTACATAAATAAATTGGCAGGTTGTATAAGTGCTCAATTTGTGATGCTGGATGGTTTTGATTGTGCTCTTGCGGCACCTTTGCTGATTTGTTCTTCCCACATAAACGTGTGTCAGTGTGGTAGATAATCTGTCTATAATGATACGGGTGCCTTTCAGCTGGAAGATGAAATGAAAAGAGAATTTCTTTTTTTCCTACTTTTTGTTGAATGGGTTCATTAACAAGCGCAACAGGGTTTAGAAAAAGAGAAAAGTTGGACATTGTTGTGTTCGACAGAACAAAGGCTGCGGGAGGACAAAGGGGAACGACATGTTGCACATATGCAAACGTTCCTCATGTCTTCCTTTCTCCTCTTGTAACTAGCGGACGCAGTCTGCTGCGCGAATGGCACACAGGATTCAGGTTGTTCCGTTTGTCAAGTTCCACGTACATTTCTGCAGACAGAAGACCTTTCTCTCTCGTCTGGATTCACGTCACGTAGACGGAAGCTGCCCAGGTATTCGTGCCGTGGGAGTGCAACTTGTGTTTCTCACATTTTTAATTGTTCAGCTGCACTCGGTTTCCTGTTCGTATTTAACGGATGGAATCACGCGAGCTTTGTCCCATGAAGGCCTTTCTCGTCAGGAGGGCTGCACTTGTTATGCATCACAGCAGAGAACGTCACGTTTGAGTGACAGGTTATGAGGAAACAGGCGGTGCATAAGTAAAATAACCAGTTGCTTCGCATTTAGTAATAATAGTTCACCATCATTACCTGCCAAACCTGCACGCAGAGATAAAGGCAACGAAAGGCTTCAGCAGCTGAAGTTCACCAAGGCAACAGTGTTTCATCAGCTCACCACCGTTGTCTTTGTATAGTCCCGAAGGCTGAAGGAGTTCAAACATCTGGATTTTCTTTGACAGTCTACAGTGTTATTTGGGTCGGCTTTGATACTGCTGGTAATAAACCTCAACGAGCATAGATTTGGGTTTTTTTTCAGCGTCCCGGCTGAATCACCGTTGATCTGCAGTCAATCCCAATGGTGTTGCTGCTCTACTGGAGTGAATCATTGAGTGTCTCCTCTGTGTTCCGTCCTTATTAGCTAACCTGCCGTGTGCATCTGTCCCTCCACAGGGCCGCTCGCTCCGGTAGCCCGGTTCTCCTACTCAAAGCCTCCGGGGGAAGGAGGTCTTGTGTGTTTGGCTGCGCGCAGCACGAGCAGCTTGGAGGAGCATTTGCTCTTGGAGGTTAATCTCAGGTTTGTCTTGGTGGCTTTGTTCCTGTTCATGTTTCTACTGTGACGCAAACACACGGGAGAGAAAGTGATTGTGTAATAAAAGACCTGCACATGTCCTCGCTTGTTCTCTCACATGCCGATTGGCAAAACTTACCTTCATTTTGTCACTAATGCGAGAGACTCTATTTGGTCTTTTGAGTTTATTTCAGTTTCACAAACAAAGAAATGGGTACTGGTACAATAAAAGTTTGACCCAAAACCTGGGTGTCATGTAAATGTTGCATCACAAAGCAACTGTCAACACACTCAATACTGAAATACAAAAGCATCTTACAACAACAGCAACTTTGCTACAAACACAAAATAGTTCAACAAACAAACTGCGTTCTTCGTGACTGATGGCCTGAAGGTCTAAATATCTGTACGGTAAACAGATGTGCAACTCTTTCCAGACACACAACATGTAGCTGGAAGAGGAACCTAACTTTTAGGAACACAAAATACAAACATGAACGATGTGTCTCCGTTTTCACGGATAAAATTCATCACATTAAATACTTGTATGCAGCATAACTACAAAGCATATTTAAAAAAAGGGGGTAATGATCTACTACAGTGTTTGTATTTTTCAGAAAACGGACCAAAGTCATTTGAAGCGTTTACAATGGATAAGGTGCGTAGAGGCAGTAAAGTGACCGTCCTGCACGGGAGGACTGCCTCCTTCTGGCCACCTGGAGGAACTGAAGGTTTAATACCCATGGCTTTTTACACTTTTTTGCCCAGGGAGCAGTTAGGGGTTAGGTGTCTTGCTCAGGGACACTACAACATGGGGCAGCCGGGGCCCGAACCGTCAACCTTGTGGTTGCCAGCGCACCCTGTCTACCCTTAAATTGTTAACACTTCACACGACACTGACAAGCTTGGAACAATATGAACACCAGCTTAGAGTTACTTTGACTCTAAGTACTAATAATGAACAATATGATCACGACAATATTCAAAGCATTTTCAAAATGTTTCACGATTACTGCGACATTCTGCAACACTGTGTATTGACATTTAAAAAAAATATTTCTTGATAACAAATCATAATGTGCTGTAATCGATCACTGTTATGAGTTGAGTAACACGTGTTGCTTACGGTTTCCCTTTGGAATAAATGCCCACTAAATGGCAGATCTCAGCAACAAGTGCAGCCTCACATCCCTGTTCGTCATATTACACTTTTCATCATTGCCACCGCCGCGCAGGCCCACGCCAGATGCACCGCGCTTCCCGAGGACCTCTGCTTCCCGACCCAAGGCAGCTCCTGACTAGAGAGCTCCTTCCCGGCCGAGGGGATCCACAGCGAGCACTTATACGGGTGATTCGCTTCCCCTTTCCTTGCCTCTATCGTGCTCGAGACAGTGTACCGTCCACGCGGGTCCATCTCCTCCCGTGTGCTTGCTGGCTGTGTGAGCTGAAGGCCTCCTTGGGACCAGCTGATGGAGCCAATGGGATAAACTCCACTGAACCAGCACTGGGCATGGGACTCATTCATCGAGAAGCCGGGGGTCCCCACGCAGTCTGTAAAGAACAAGGACTGAGACGAAGGGAAGAACGCGGCAAAAAGACACCCGTGGGAGAAAGAAAGAGCTGCAGCTCACCTTGTACCGTGACCGTGGTGGTGGAGGACTTTGCTCCGTGGTTGGCGCGTACTTTGCAGAAGTATTTGCCCTGGTGGACCGGCATCACGTCGTAGAGGGTCAGCGTGAGTTTGTGGTCTTGAGTGGCGCTTTCACACGCGGCCCGGGAGTCGGGTCGGCCGTGTTCGTGAGGACACATACTTTCGTTCTTTGCCAGCCAGGAAAATGAGATGATATTCAACTGGTCTGAGGCGCTGACTTCACACGGGAGCGTCAGATTCTCTCCACATGTAGCCACCACGTGGGGGATTGTCTTCAGCTCCAGGCCGCGGCTCACTGAGTTATCAGAGAAACAGAGAATCTGAAAACAGAATCTGAGGATTTACCGCTAACATTGTGTTATCTACATAGTTATCGTTTGTTATTCAATGGTCAATATTGTGTTCAGGGTTAAACTAATGTTAGTCGTGGGAAAACTTATTCTGATCTGACCTTTTGTCCCTTTGTTACCTTTCATTTAGAGGTTGGGTTAAGAATAGTGAGACATTTTGGGCAATATACATGATCACTTTAGGGACAAAAGCCAGATAAGAAGAGTAAAGTTGCCACCCATATTGCCCGCAGTTGGCTGGGATGGATTCAACCCCCCCAGTGACCCTGTGTGCAGGATAAGCGGTTTGACAATGGATGGATGGATGGAGTTGCCACCCAACGTGAGGGGGGGGAGGGGGGATTATTTGCATGGGATGCTGCATTGAAAACAACTCGGAAAATAGGGGACAAACCCCGTCCCGTATTTATTCAAACCGCGACGCGCTATTTTATTCTCAAATACGGGATTAATCTGTATTTTAGCGGACGGGTGGCAACCTTAAAGAAGAGTAACCTCACTCTAGGTAGCTTAGCTTAGCACAAAGCCTGGGATCAGGAGCGACGGGGACGCATGGAGGAGAGTGAGGTGCGGCGGGAAACCGCAGGGTTGGTTGGAGCAAGACACTCAACCCCCCCCCCCCCCCCCCGGGGGCAAACTGCTCCCCCAGCAAATGTGGGTTAAAAATGCAATGTACGGATTTGGATAAAAGCATCAGCTAATCAATCCACCTACCAGCACCTCTAAAACTCACTTTGTTTAATCTGTTCCGAACCCAAAAAACGACTGAGTAATTATAACCATGTGTTTTGATACGAAAATGATATTAAACCGAACATTATTCATAAGTATGCAGTGTTATAAATACATATCTGACGTTTATAACAAGCCAAACCGTTTAAAAAAAGGGTTGAAGTTATGGTTATTAAACTAGTATATGTATCACTACCAACACAATGTCACTCTAGTTAGCTTATCTTAGCAAAAGACTGGGATCAGGAAGAAACTAGAGCTAGAGACAATAGAGCGGGTCACATGTTGGACTATTATCAGGAAGAACCGTGCTTGGCTTAGTTATGGTGAAGTCGCTGTAGCAACATATCTACTGTACCTGCGTGATGGTATTATTGATCCAAGCCTCAGCAACATATCACATGTTAAATTCAGGAAAGGGGGTTTCCCACGAACAAGAGAAGGTTGAAGAATCAGGATTACACTGAAACACCTCGAGGTCTCACTTTTCTCTCAAAGAACTTAAAACACAATACAGCGTACAACCTTTACACAACGACTCTGCTTAAGCTGTACATCCTTCAAACAGGAAAAGATATTAAAGATACAGATATATAGATAAGGTTTCTTTCTGCACAAAGAAAAACCTCACCAGCAATGAGCCCGAGGATGGAAACCCATCTAGAAACACGCAGCGTCGTCACGTCGCAGGAGAAGCCCATCATCCGCATGGGAGTCAACAGCAAATGAGATGAACCAGACAAAAGGCTGAAGATACAACCGAGAAGAGGAACGCACACTGAGCAGACCTCAGGCGCTCTCGGTCGTGTGACGTCAGGTCCTGACTTGAGCAGACGTGCCATTGGAATGTTGGAGCAAGAAAAAAACTTTCCGGCCTGCTTCACTGGATTCTCACTATCCACCACTTTCATTTACGAATGTAGGTTTGAACTTTCATAACCCTTTGTTCGATTATGACTTGATGCATCTTTTTATTTCATTTCATTTTTTGGCTCCAAAGGTAATTTTGTTCGTGAGCAGTGAAGCGAGAAGAGAGAAATGCGAGCCTCGATGAAAAGCTCTCATTGATGTGTCAATGAAATATAAATGAACTGATCAGCATTGTTTTGGTCCGCAACGGGATTGAAAAAAAACGTTTAGAACTGTTTCCTGTTATAGCACACGTAAAACAGGTTCAAAGTGAGTCCCTTTAGACTTAATCAAGATATTGCATAAAGCCAAATCACACACTGACAATATTTCCCATGAACCCACTTTAAAGAGTTATACCAGTGATTTAAGGCTCCAGCTTCTCTCTGTCTTGCCACAATGCTTCTTGATAATAATCCACTAGACTTGTACTGCACGGATACACCGACTCCTGTCAATCATCCACTAAGTGTTGATTCTCTTGTGAGGTGCTTTGAGTGCAGGTACAGGCCCCCACGTGTACCACACCTCAATACTGTGCACTCACTGGGTGACTGTTGTCTGAACAATTCATCGGTAAATCAAAATAAGACAGTGTGTATTTTATTGACTTATTACGTAAATCTGAAAGCCCCTTGCAGAGGGAGGAGTTATGCAGGAAGACACTGCTGCGAATTCAATGCAACTGAGTGTTGATGGAGCGGTATAAATGCACATTGAGCACCAACATGAGAGTGTTACAAGTGCAGTACCATCTCTTCCGGTTCCATTAATGGTTGCCCAGGACATTTATGGCAGGGTAAAGCAGGTGATCTATCAATGAGCAGTCCGATATCTGCTGGCTGAGCTCCTCTGTGGGATATAACTCATCATGTAAAGCTTGTGAGAGCAGCAGGCCGCAGAGGGAGAAGTAAGGAGTTTAAAAGTGCTTTTCCCTCTCTACTAAAAGCCACATCTCTATGGAGATGTTTGTTTTCTTGGCTTCCCAGCGGGAGAGCGCACTCAACACATCGTCCGCCGCAGACTGAAAACTCATCTGTTCAGAGTGTCCCCGAGGCCTATAAAATGCAACAAATGCTTTTTTTTAATGCAAAAACTGGTGTGGGATAACATGTGGGCAGACGTGTTTCAACAGCTTCTCAGTCAGAGCAGGTTGTGCCGACATGCCCCTACAAGTAAAAGCAGTTAAAATTTCTACTGCGTAATTTGTGGATAATCATAGAGAGCTCCTTCCCGGCCGAGGGGATCCACAGTGAGCAGTGAGCAGGAACAGTGATCATAATTTTGTGTGACAGTAACAACACTTGATAGTGAAAAACTTTTGGTCGTATTTAAATAAAACTTGCTTCAGGTGCAGCATTTGGACAAAGAAGAACTCACTAAAAGTATTTTTACTCTCTTTTAGCTACAATGCTGCTAAGCGCCTCTGATTTTCCTCTCGTTTCTCAACAGAGAAACCTGCATTTTACACTTTCCCAGATACATACAGTATTTATTATAGTTCTTTGTCCTTAGGCGTCTGCTTCCGTGAATCCTCGTAAAGCAGAGACCAAACCAAACAGTGTGAGGGGAAAAGAAACTGCACCCGAGAGACAAGTGGGCAGACGAGGCAGAGACAGACAAGCTCAGACAGAGGCAGAATATGTGAGTCAGATTGCAAATATTGGTGGATAATGCAGTGGTTAAGAGGTGAAGGAGAAGGAATAAGAACAAGATAAAAAAATAAGAACATGTAGACGAGAAGGCTTACTGGCCTGAGGAAATAAAATAGGGGACACAAGAGAGAAAAAGACGTGGTAGGAGACGTTTCTTGACACGATGTTGCTGCTGGTAGTTCCCTGCCAGCAGCAACATCTGTCCAAGTGGCAATATGACTCATCTCTCCATCAAAAGAGGGTGAGAGGTTATCTGCGATTCAATAAACACTTATTTTTCTTAGCGTTTTGCTCATTTGCTCAGAGAAAGTCATGATATTGCTTAAAAACATACAAGAAAACAAAGAAGGAAAAGGATTCTTGTGCATCACTGACACATAAACACGGCTTACTCTTGCCGAGGTTTTCTGTCCTCCAGTGCCATAATGAAATCTGTTTGGGCTGCAAGCCGAGAGGCACAAAACAACCGGCAGAGCCAAGGCCCAAAATATTAAGACTGAAAACGGTTTCCATGGCAACAGAGGATGCCGTTGTTTTTATAGCCGAGGCTGGCTGTGTCCTTGGACGACTCAATGATGGTCCCTCTTTCCTTGACGGCTTTATGATGGTACTCCGCTCTACTGAGGTTGGGTCAAACTTGGAGTTTGTTTGGTTTCCATCTGTTTTTTTCCTATGCGGACAGGAACAAAACAAACAAAAAGGACAATAGCAACAAAAACAAAACATTATATGTCCCTTTGTGAAAAGCCAACGTTATCGCATTATGAAAAAGGGTATCACAGTCTGTCTTTTCAATTCAAAGACGTTCACCTGGAAATAAAATGTCCACTGTTTTACAAAGTAAGTAGAGCCGTAAGTAAAGACTAAAGAGGAATGGTTTGTTACCTGTAATTCAACACTGCGCTGTCGGTGTGTTCTGTATTCCGCCCGCTGGGTGTCGCTGTCGAGCTGCCTTCTCCCGGAGCTGTCCACGGTGCTGAAACCTGGAAAACGGGTCCCTATCTCAACACCTTTAACAACGGTGATGTATTATTGTGTATATTATTATTGGGGACAATTGTGTCATCCTTCTGGAAAGGGTTCGGTTTTGCTCACTCAATCCATTAAGTCGGACCAGCATAGAGCTTTATGATTAGCTCTCTTAATTGACCCGCCCTGTTTCCATGTCCCACGTGGCCTGCAGGCTACTAGAAGCGCGCGTAATTAAGCCTATTTAAAAACTAAAACTAAAGCACAGAAAATCAATATTTTGTTTTTCCAGTGTGAGTCGTTAGATGGCGCTGTCGGGGAACGAGCCGCAGCCAGAGAGAGAGCCTCTGGCCCCACGACAAGAGTACGCGGGGGCTCCGTCGACTCCATCGAGGAACTCCACCGCGTTGCTGCACCCGGTGCCGCGCGGTCTGCGGCGCGCTGCTCAATCACAGCGAGATTTACGCAGTTCTGCTCATAGTCACACCCGGAAAGGAGGACCATCGACGCACCGGATTGCCGCTGAAGTTGTTCACGCACACGGACACGCACGCACGCACGCGCGCGCGCACACACATCGGTCAGCTGTCGGAGCGGGGAAGTTGCCCGCGGCGCCGCGCGCTGCGTCGATCGCCGGGACTCTGGTTTTTAAAAGTTATGGTTTCCTCGCCGGTTGTCACGCGGGCTCGGAGAATGTTGAGAGGACCCGCAGCTTTCTACGTGTGTGGGGGATGATCGCGACCTGCAGCGACCTTTTCATTATGGTGAGAAGATGTCTTCTCACTTTCAAACCCTTCAGGTAAGCACGTGTCTCTTTCTACCGTTGATTTGATTTCTATCTGGAATAAAAGCAGTCCACTACACTGGCTGGTTTTATACAGTGGCTGTTGTATATAATCTGCACTGTAACAAAACAAAACATTGTATGATGAAATTGAAATGCTATAATAAGTTGTTATGTAAATACCATTTCATGCATCTTATGTCTGCTGTCTGGTTTTCTGCAGTAGAGCAGATCTTATAAATTCAAACCATTGGCCTTGTTGTTTTTTTGTGGGGAGCCATTGCCATTAATGGGCCCCCGGAATGCCTGCTGTGCCATAATTAACGTTTGCTTACACAGCTAAAACTACCAACAGCAGCAGCGGCAGCTGGAGATGAGTGAAAGCAACTCAAGCAGATATAAACTCATTTAAACGTCCACGTCTGACTGGCTGTGCACAAGCTTCAGGGCTCCAGAGCAGCTTCAGAGCATCAATATGGAAGTGATGGTGTTCCCATCCAGTGTCTGTTTCTCAAGTGAAGTTCCCTGATGTAGTACAGCTGTCTTTGTGTTCACGTTCTACTCTCACACTCACTGCAAAGTCATATTGTTTAGTTTTTTTTTCTTCCACACGCAGCGTGCACGCCTGCCTGAGCATCAAATCCCATTTCTCCACCCGAAACCTCACACACTCTCGCCTCTCTGTTGCTCTCTGCCTCGACGTTCCAGCGAGGCGGCTGAGGTGCGCCGGGTAGAAGTGCGACGATCCGTCCCGCAGTGGCCCAATTTTAAAAAAAAAAGAATAGTTTCCAAACGTTTTTCTCAGCACGACCAGTGGGAGAATGAGACGAGCCAGTTTTCAGTTAATCGCTCCATAGCTTTTTGTTCCAGAGCCAGGGAGACTTCACACACACACACACACACACACACGTTTGATGTGTGTTTGCTGTTTCCTCCCAAATGAGACCATTCGCCCTTAAGTTAATGCTTTTATTTTGGATGTTAGCCCACTGAGCGTAGTGCGATGCCGAAAAAACCATCCGTGCAACGGTTCATTTGAGACGACACACTCGAGCAAGTACACGGCGCTTTACTTTGGGTTGATTGGTGAGAACAGAAATATGTCCACGCTCCATGAAGCCGAACTAAGGGCTTAAAAGGATGTTTTCTCAAAGAGCTCATGTGGATGTGATCTGGACAAAATCCTCTCTCACTATACAGCTCGTTTCATTTCCCCCTGAATACCACGATAAAGCAGGTTTTCTGCTTGTTCAGTAAAAAGATTGCAGAACAAACGGTATTTTCTCATTTACTTAAGAGCGGTATTATGAAATCAGGTGAAATAGAGAAGACATCTACACACTGACCGTATTTGCATGCAAACGAAATCCATAGTATTTAGATCGAGTTTGGCTGCAGTTTTATCAGACTTTCTGAAATGTGAGTTTATGTGCTGGTTGTCTTCCATTTAAATGGCAATTTTTAATCAATAGCTCAAATCTTCTCTTTTCTTGCCACTTTTTGAGATGTAACCATGTCATGTTCTTGTGTCACTGCCTCCCCCCCCCCCCCCACATCCCTCTGTGTCTCCTGCAGGATCTTCGTGGTGGGGATCGGCTTCTTCAGCCTGTGCTTCCTAATGACGTCCCTCGGGGGCCAGTTCTCGGCCAAGAGGCCCGTGGACTCCCCCTTCACGGTGCGGGCCGAAGGTAAGCCGTCGGTGCTGCTCGGCTGGTAATGAACAGGCTCAAGGCTTCCCAGGCCCGCTCACTTTGCTCATTGTGTATGCGTCAGGGACTGGGGGAGGAGGGCGGGGGTTCTCTTTTTGAACATCTGCTTTCATCTGTGCTCGGTGCCCACATGACCTCGTTCTGACCCACATTTACTCGCTCTAGTGCCACTAGTTGTACAAGCTGAACAGTGTTGGAGGCTGAGGTGGGATTTGTGTTACTCTTTTATGAATCTTTGTGTTATGTTACCTTGGACGTGTTCCCGTAGTACAATAATACACCACGTTTATTATCCTTTTTAGCTTGTAAGCTCACTGAAGCAAAAGAGAATTATTGCAAACATGGATCACTCTCGCAGTGCAGCTTTAAAAGGGAACTGATACGATTTAATAGTATGGAGGTGTTGAATGTGATGTAATCATGAGACAGTGGTGCATCATGCACAACAAACACTAGTCATCATGTTTTGGGTCGTACAACTGTAATTTCAAAAGGACCATGTAAACCCTCTAACGAAACAACATTTACTTTGCAGAACCCAAATACAAATATCACACTTATTTCCTGGTGCCATCCCTGAGGCGCGGCTGCTTGTTGTCGAGAGATTGAATGGATTTGACAGATTGACTTTAACGAGGGCGCCGCTGAAATAGCGGCTCCTGGTTGGACGGCTTCCTCTGGCTAATCGGCGGGATTCAGAAAGTGGACGGAGGGGAGCATCAGGTGTCACTACCGCGCACGATATCAAGGCAATGAAGCGTTTCAGAAACAACACGAGCCGAGCTGATTTAGGAAAAAGAGAGAGAGGGTGGGGGGGACAACAGAGCTGTCTGATTTACTAACCACTCACGGCCCGCAGGCCTCGACTGCCTCGAAAGCATTCGGCCTCCAACTCATTAAACACAAAGCAGGTGGAGACGAGCTTTGCGGCTCCTCCCCCCTCTGCGTGTTTGTGTACGAGCAAATGTTTTGGGTTTGGGGTTTTGGGTAATGAACGAGCCGGGATGAATTGTTCAGTGGCGCACCAGGCAGCCAATGCTCACAGCCATCCAGTCGCTGCCGCCGAGCACTGTAGAGAGCGACGGGACATAAACACACCTGTGTGTGTGTGTGTGTGTGTGAGAGAGACACCACCTGTATTCATGCAAGTGTCATCTCTCCAGCTCAGTCGAGCCCACTAGTTTTTTGTAAAAAAAAATCTTCCCTGTAAGCTGCACAAAGAATCCTACACCTGCACAGACACAAACTTGTGCTACTTCCTTTATTTATATCATTTAATGCATTAAGTAGTGTCTCAATCTCCAGAGACGAGTTTTCCCATTCTAAAAATGCGTGTTTTCCTTCATCGCTTTGCTTTTGAAGGTGCAGAAAACTAATGATGTGGAGAAAATGTAAAAAAAAAAAAAAAAAGGGGGGCAGAGGTGGGTGGTTCTGCGAGGGATTTGTACCGGAGTGGGAAGCATGAAAGTCTGAAGCGTTTGATCCCAGATATCTTAAAGGCTGCAGAGGTCTACCGCAGCGTTCTAATGAGCTCTTTGAAGACCACCTTCACGGTGGGTCCTTTCTCCACGGGGGGCTTTGCCACAAAGGGAGAAATCGGGCGAGGACGCTTTCAGGCGCCCCCCCCCCCCCCCTCCCTCTCTGGGCCAAGCGAGGGTAAATGGTTCAGGTTCTAATGCGTTTTAGTTATTCCTACCCGCATGCTGCATCACCTGAGCCGGCTCCATCCTCGCCCTCTGCAGTGATGAAAACACAAGCTTCATTCAACACGACAGGAGGCCTTGCATTCTTCCCTTTCATTTATTATGCTGTATGGATATTGCCACTCCCCCCCCCCCAAAAAAACCCCAGATGGGCATATTTTGAATATATTCTGATTCTCCCTTTTCCACGGTGCTTTAATCCATCACCGAGCCGAGCAGCGGAGCATCAGGTGTGGAAGCGGCGTCGTGTTCAGTGTCCTGTTCTCTCTCGCATCCTTTCACACACTGTGACAGGACCCTCTCTTTTTATTTCATGGCTCGGCGGTCCTTCTCCGCGGCGCGTTGGAAACGAGTCCTTCCCGACACGGCACCTTGCGAGGGCGCGGCGTCCGGGTCTAATGAAGCCGCGGGGAGCTTCCACGCCCGATTCGGATGGGAGAACGGGAGAAGTGGCACTGAATATCCTGCTGACAAAGAAGAGGTGTGAATAAAAGATGGCCGCCCGTTGCTCACTGTCAGCAGGTGGAGAGGCCAGTGATTGCCCCTCTGATTGGGAGGAAGGTTCCCCGAATGTCTCTGCCGCGATGGCCGCTTACCAGATTTAGCCTTCTTTATTGTTGCGTGCTGTTCGAAGCGTCATCTCAACTCTTAGTGCCACAATCGGAGACGGACACATTTGAGTCCGATTATTCTAATGTATAGAATGCTCATTAGTTTAAGGTGGAATTGCCTTTTAGGAAGAACAATCCATTTTAATTTGTTTACAGAGGTGTTGGTGATTACCTCATTTAATTACACTGTCTCCTGGGGGAAATGAAGTGCAACAGTTTTGATTGTTTCTGTCAATTAGACGCTGCCACGTTATTACCTTTATCCGAGGGCAGTCACGAAGTGCGTGCACGCCGCGTGGACACGCCGTACACACAGACACACGCGCACAGTCATTGTCAAAGTAATTAATGCGCAAAACAAAAGAGCAACTCATTTAAAACCCCCTGACAAGACCCAGTGCTCCAGTACTGTTTAATATTATCTGGAGTGGAATTTGCTATGCAGGTTCATGTCAGCCTCTTTTGGAGCTTCCCGCATGTGTTGTTGCCTCTGTCAGCCATGTAGCTGGAGATGCAATGTGGGTCAGGAGGTTCGCTCACAGACTGCGACGAGGTGGCGGCGTTCTCTACTCTTCTTTTGCATGCAAGCAAGAATTGTCAGTGTGAAAACAGAAAATATGTTTATGCAAATGTTCATCGTATTTTTACGGCTGCGCGCGACGTGAGCAGCGAGAGCATAAAAGAGAATAAAACCGACCTCTCGTCCCGGGAAAATAATTGCATGCGGTGACACTTGTGTCTTTCTGGGTTGAATCTACGAGTGTGCGTCTCTTAATAAGGGAATATTACATCCTCACAGCTCTGTGTCTGAATCCGCTTGTCCTCGCCCAGGTGTGCTTGTGCCGAACCCTAAATGACAGCTCCAAGCTGTGGAAAATCCATCACTGTGAGGCTGCAGGGGTTTATTAAGACACCACCCGTGCTTCTAGCTGCACTTGTTAGTCCACGGCTGCATACCGGGCCGACTGTGAGGGTCAGGGGACGCAACCGAAGGAAGAGCCGTTTTAATTGAAGCGACGGAGAAGCAGGTTGAAGAAAAAAAAAAAAGAGGAAAAGTTCAGGTGTTTTTCCTGTTTCCAGGCTGTCGGTTGCAATGAGAGGAGGCTGCAGCTGCCCTGAGGATAAGTGACAGGTTTTTTGCTCCAATAGCGTCTGCGTGTCAGTCGCCCCGATTCCACAAAGAATAGAAAAAACTCAATCTCAATCAGCCCAACCCCCCCCCTGTAATGAATACTTTTATTGGGGGGGGAGATGACATCTGTGCTGGAATGAGGGTGCAGATCAGGAGGGAATAGATGAATCCCCCCCCTCAGCGGGGATGACAGGATTTATCTATCTGGCTCTCAATTATGCTGACGGGGAGGAGAAATATTCATCTGATATGAATCGAACATGACACATCGCTATAATCAATTGTTGACGGATAAGTTAAGAGCTGCAGAAATGCTTTATTTAAATTTGAATTGGCTCTCGAATTGAAATGATACACGAGATGTTATGAAGCTGTATGTATTTCACTGGCTCCCCTTGATGTCTCTTGTATTCGCCATTACAAAAATAAAATAACGATGGCTTTTTGTTTCTCTTTTCATCTTCCTGCAGAAAACAAGTCACACTTTTTTAATTGCAGCCACTCTCTCGCTCCTTCCTCGCTACAATTTCTGCAGGAGGGAAAGCTTCCAAAACAATCACAACTCTGTGCATGTGTTAGTGTGTGTGTGTGTGTGTGTGTGTGCCAACACTTCTGTCCCAATTGACTTATATTTAACATGTAAAGTGAACCACACTCTGCCAGTCTGCAGGTATTTCACCTCCCGTGCAAGTGATCAGACGCCGCGCAGCGCCCGAACCCTCTGGCTGCACAAGGGCCAAGGCCCCCCCCCGAGAGGCTTTTATCCTCTTTCTCGTAATTTCACCCGTTGTTGTCTAGAAATCTATTGAGTGTCGCAGCTGAAATGGCCTCCAGCTATAAGGGCTTCTGGCGTGCGGTTGCAGCGAGGCCGAACCACAGAATCTGAACAACGTGTTTGTTTAAAGAGATCTGTGAATTCTGAATGAACCATAAAGGGCCTGATCAATAAAAGCACTCGCCCCGTCTACCTGTTCGACCTGGGCCTGAACCACTGCGAGCAGGAGCTTCTCTGGGGAGTTTTTTAAAGCTCCTTTTGAAAAGACTAATCCGTCAGTCTGGTAAAAGGCTTCAGCTGCGATGGCGCAGTAATAAACGCTGAGGACTTCAATGCGTGACCCTCAGACAGAGCGGGTAATTCTCCAGGGTGACGAGAGCCCGAGGAGCATTCCGGCGCTCGAGCGGATCGGACTGATCAGTTATCACTCGATACCACCGACGTTTCATGGTGGAGTGAATCGCCTGCCTGTTCATAGGACAAGAATACACGTCCACCAAAGGTCTGAACAACGAAAAAGGCCACAAACAACTTCCTTTGTGCGTTAGTGAGATTTATCTTTTCGTGATCTGCTATTTTCCCTCAGTGGCTTTTATTACGCAATAATTCTACAATTAAAGTCAGCGAGAGCAGGAGACGCAGCTTCTACATCATTTATCGACATTTCCATTCAGTTGCTTGAGGCGGATGTTTCCGGAGCATCGGGTTGGATGAGAATTTAATCATCCCAGAAACATTTAGCCTAATCAATAGTGTTCAAATAACAACATAATGGCTTTGCGGGTTACTTAATGCGAATTTCATTAAATACATATTGAAATAATGAGTTAAGCGGTTAGAGGAGCGCGCAGGTCCTGACGGCGGTCGTACTCAACATCAACGCACATCCTTGTCAGGTGGTTTTTGTTCGGCCTACGGTACAAACGGCGGTCCAATTGGGATTTGTTCAGGCACTTCCGCCCGGAATTGAGTCGTTAAAGGCGATTAGCCGCCGTTGAAGCGGCCCTTCGTTAAGCAGCCGGCGAGGGAACGAGGCAGAGGAGGCTCTGCGCCGGCGCGTCAGATGCCGTCGCTTCCTCCGACTGCGCGCTGCCAGATAAAACACATTAGCTCGGCTTTCCCAAGAGGCACGAGGTGAGGGGGGGGGGGGGGGGGGAGCCGTCTGATGAACAGTTGATTGCGAACCTATAAAAGGCTTGTTCTAAAAAAGCACTTGCGTAGGGAGGCTGTTGGGCCTCAGTAATGGTGATTTACGGGCGCGCGGCGAGCAGGGAGTATTACTGCGAAAAAAATTGGAGTTCTTCCCACACTTTTAGCCCGGGGGCTTTGTTTAGATTTAGTGCCGCGGGCGGGTACAGGATCATCTCAAGCCTGAGTACAACTAAACGCACAAGAAGAATGGAAGCGGTGGTTGTCGAGGTGATTTTGGTGCTGGTGGTTCTGTTCCTGCAGCTCTCTGCACCAGATAGTGTCGCCCTGCAGTGCTTTACTGAATCTCATCCCCCCTCCACCTGTCATTCTCCTCTTAAAGTCTATTGTTCTGCCTGTGGAGGGAAAAGAGAAGTTGTCAAACTGCGGAATTATACAAAGCGAGAGACGTCTTTGGGGCAGTTTGTGTGGCGGTGTTCTGGAAATGACTGAAAAGACGAGTTAGACAATAAAGTAAATTCTTGTTTGCGATGCGAGTGCTCCTCTTCCTCGGCAGACCCGCATGCACACACACACACACACACACCAATAAGACGCGGGTGGTTTCCTCTTGCTCCTTTATTATATTTACTGGTGATGGAATACAATTTCTTTTGGGAGAAAGGTGCCTTTGACTCGGCCGGTGATAAATGAACTGTGACAGGAGGAGTGAGTGTGCACACATTGCAGTTTCTGGAGCCTAATGCAATTGATGAGGGAACATTGAGAGGTGAGGCTTTATTTCCACTCGCGGGCCGCGAGAAACAAAAAGAGCCTGTTGTCGGTTGCAAAATACAAATAATTCACACCAGAACAGTGCCAGTATTTATTTTGATTTTCTGCATCTAAAATAGCTTTGATGCTACCACTAGAGCGCACAGGGGCCCTTCGGTGCTTCTTAAACTGCGCTAATAAGCACTCGCTATTGAGCGAGGAGCTTAAATGTGATCACAGCGAACGGTGGAGGAACTTGAGTCAGGAGTCCTGCTTTGACCTCATTGCGAGGGGCTGCAGGCACACTGATCGACCGGGTGTCCGCTAACGCCATCGTTCTCTTTTACCGCCTGTCGGCCTCGCTGCTAATTCCAGGCGAGCAGGAAGACAGAGCGGATTCTGTCGGACTAATCTGCCCGTCGCGTGTGTCTCTGCTGCTTTGGCAAACACGAAGACAAAGGACGGAAGAGACTCCGGGGCGCTTTAAAGTAATCAGGGAGATGGAACATAAAATGGATAGACTTTAGATTCATTTGCGTTGAATTGATGGATGTAAACTTAATCAATTCAGTGAAGATAAATACCTGAAACGTTCAAGCGGTTTGTTTTCTTCCTGTGACCTTTTACTTACTTTACATAGAGACGCGCCGTGGCCTCCCATGACTTCCCTCCATCTTTATCAATCACCATCTCATTTCTCCACGATGCTCTTTCCACGTGTCTCTCGTGACAGCCGTCTCACGCCTGTGTGTGTTCCAGTGCTCAGCGGACACGAGTCTCGTGGGGTTCTGAGGAAGATCAGCGACATGCTGGAGGTCATAATGAAGCGGATGGACGCTCTGTCTAAACTGGGCAACACCACGGAGGCCCACAGGCTGGACGAGCTCAGCTCGGCGCTGGACAGGTACGACGCGGCAACGGGCGACGACTGAGACCTCTGAGAACACATCGAGGGAGAATGCTTGTTTTTCGACGACAACAAACAAATGAATAATTAGGATTTAATGTAATTAGTCACTATCAATATCATTAGCAATCCATGGTTTAATCCATCTGTTACAAAGGCATCGGCTGATTTATCGCCCCCTCTGAGCAGCGGTGTTGTGCATTAATAATGCAAACCCAACTAAATGATGACCAACCATTATTAGAACCTATTTTAATCAATAACATATTGGAAAACTGGTCTTAAAGAAGATACGTGTAAGAACAAACCTCTTCACCTCCAGCTGTATATATATATATATATATATATATATATACAGTATATATATGTAGTGTAGAGGTCTTGCTGGTCAAGTTGAAGCTGCCAACGGCGAGTTGCTGCCTCTGCAGTTGCCTTGGCAACTGACCTTTCTTCAGACCCGCACCTGCTCGGGGTTTGAGCGGAGGAAGCTCCGCCCTGTTCTCCGTCTCTCTGCCGTTTGTTTCTCTCCTCCGGATATCAGCTACCTGCGTCTCCACCGCCTCACGCAATAATGAAACCACCCTCTGATGATAAATAGCACGACATTGTAATAAACTCTGAAGTTTAAAAAAAAATAATTCAGGCCAAGGAGTCACACAAGAAATGATGAGCAATGACACGAGAGGACGCCTCACCGCACCTGCTTTTCAAGCCTAAAGGGAAATATGCATTGTGCTGCGGCCAAAACGCTGCAGTTATCTTTATTACAGAATGTAATTTTCTCTACCAAATCCTCTGTGGATCAGACGTATAGTTTTTACTATCATTTAATTGGCCTCTCGGGGACTAAAATGAAAATCGTTACAGTGACAAAGGCCAAATAGTTTAAAAACTGCTCATGCGGGTTCTTTGTTTCTATCTCACTGGGTGACTGATTAAAGAACTCCGCATGGCTTGAGGTCGGGGGGGTCGACCCCGGAGATTAATATGAGAGTTTAAGGCAGAAAAACAATTTGTTCACCTGGTATGTCGTTAAAAAAAGGCATTGGGTTGTCCTCTTGTATTTGCAGGCAATCGGAAATAAGATCAGCTCTGTACTTTCTGTCTAAACATTTTATAACTACCGCAACTGTAAAAAGGTGTTTTTTTAAACCAGTGAACCAAAAGTCTCTTCTTAGTCACTGCTCTGCACTGATTTCACTGAAGACCGAAAACTATGTTGATTAATTCAACTGGCAGAATTTCCAGCAATGGAAACAATAAATCACCAAGAGAAAAATGACAAGCAGTTGCTGATTACCTTCATTTGTAAATTAAAAAAGGGATGAGCTTTAAAAGTATGTCAGACAAAACAAGCAATTTAAAACAATGCACTCTGTGACAGATTATTTTCTCTGTAACAATAAAACAAGCTGATCAATAGATAATCAAAATAATTGGACGTTGTATAGTAGGCTCATCTTTTAATTAATCTTTAAAAGCAAAGCTGACAGAAAATGTTTATTCCAGCTTCTTAAATGGAAACTTTGTCTGCTTTTCTTGTTTTGTGTGATAGTAAACAGGCTTCATATAGCTGACAAGTCTGGACCTCTAAACTAATTCTCATTTACCACTTTTTCATACACTTATAGGAAAGAGGTATTATTTCTCTGGGGTTGTTCTCTAGAACATTTAATAATTCATTACATAAATCTATTAACCATGGCTGGAGGTGCTGCAGTGCTGGGCTGAGGTGTCGTAGTGCACATACATTAAATAATATATATTTTGGTGAATTTAAGCTCTGGTGTAAGACTCGCGGTCCTTGGCTGGACAATGTTTCTCTGCTTCTCACAGACATATTTCCAAAAATCCCTCAGAGCTCAAACTATTACAGATTATTGTATAACCATTGTCTTCTCTTAATTATCGTGCGTGTCCTCCTCATTATCTCCTTTTGCATTTTGAACATTGCTCCCTGGTTGTTTTGCCAACAGCTTTTCGGTCACAGAGGTCAAGTGCTGTGAAACCCACTTGCTTAATTGTCTTCTACCGTCATCCCTCCAGGGGCCCGCTTTAATATGCCAAGTTACTTTTTTATCCTAACAAAAGAATGACCTGTCAGTGTTTTTAAACAGCTTCTATTTCAATTTCCTGCCTCAAGTTCTAGAGAATTAGCATCAGCAGGGAAAAGAATGCAGCTGAATGAAAAGGAGCTATGAACTAGAAATGATCTCTTGCCTGCAGGTTGAGGAAAAACCATCCAGGTCATAACAAGATGTTTGTCGTGAAATCCTTTTTGCTGTGTTGTGTGATCAGGATCCAGCCTGTCGGGCTGGTGGAGCGGATTCAGGCCATAGCCCAGAACATGTCCGACATGGCCGTGAGGGTGGAGCAGATCCTCCAGCGCAGCATGGCCGCCAACAGAGGTACGACACCCGGACGCCTCGCGCACCTGGAGAATCCCAAATAGACCCGAACCCCTAACCCGCCTGCCCAATGGGATCTGAGCGCGTCGGCTTCCTTCACCGGCCCCCCGATCTCCGTTTCTTCATCGGGCTCCAGAATAGAAATCGGACGATTCAATCCCCCTCATTGCGCTTTACGACTGAAAGCGTGTCATTAAAACACATCCGGCCTGCTGTCAAAAACGTCTGCTGTCGTTCGGACGAGGCTCACGCGGAACCCGGCGACGCCTCGGCAGCAGCGGGTGGCGGGCTTTTTCCAGCCGGTAGGGTTCCGCCGCCATGGCGGCAATCAGACAGGACGGCGGGCAATCGTTTGTCTGTGATCGGCCGCAAGCCGTCCTTTAATTAGGCCCGCTGGTGCCGGGAGGAGAGAGAACACAAAAGAGTGAGATCAGCACAAAGAGGAAGGAAGGATGGAAGGAGAAGGAGAAGGGAGCAAGGAAGACCTGGTGCGGGGGGGCTGTCTGTGTTCAGCGGGGGGAGGCGAGCTCTTACAGGAGCTCGTTAGCTATCTCTACTCTCTAATTCGTCTGTGTGGGTCCCAGAGGCTGGAGGATGTTTGCCGCGGTACGAAAGACAAACAGACTCCGTGCGCCCGGGGGACACGCTGTTAAGCTCCGTTTGATCACAATGAGCCCGGTTCCGGTCCCGGGAGGTCCAAAGCTACACCGACAAGCGTACATTTCACGGAGCTAGACTTTGTGTCGGAGAATTAAACCTCGCATGAAATCGAATATATCGACAGGATTTCGAGATAACGGATACTTTTATTTGATCAACCAAAGAACAAAAAACACTGAATATTTTAATTATGTATTGCCGGCTGTTTTTTCTCACCTTTCCCTTTGTGTTTGACTCTTGTGTGCACTGGAGGCGGATAATAGCACGTTCTTTTTGTTTCTTTTGCCGGTGTCGGATGTGTGTGGCCTCCTGTCGGAGCTCCTGTGTGTGTGTGTGTGTGTGTCTGTGTGTGTTTAGGCTTTGATTTGTTTTTGCTCTTCCCCGCGCAGTCAGGGAAGGCACGTTAGGACAATGTGAGACTCCTAAAGATCCCCGTTACCCAGACTGCCCCAGCAAGATGGATGTGAGTATTCAACTACTACACACACATAATATGACAAGATGATGTATAAAAAGACAAAAACAACAAAAAATGAAGGATATAAATACGAATAAAGCAAGATATGGTTTAATAAGCACAGGGCTTATACTGTGTATATACTGTAGGAAACGGCACCACGTACAATATAAGCATAAACCACCGTGTGCAAGAAAAAGACAAAATGTGCAAAACATATGGTCCTTCTGTTAAATGGAGCTGAGCTGAAATGTAGCCAGATGACCTCATCGTGTGGTTTTTATCGACAGGGAGCCATGAAAACACACTTCAACACTTTTAAACTTCACATGGAGTACCAGTTACTTGTGGCACTTTACCATCCAACGGTTCCCGCAGTCAGCTTAACCCAGGTGACATCTCATTAACACGGGGCCTCTAGTGCCCCACGATGAAGAACCGCAGGCATCAAATCAAACAGCGGGTCGTCGGGACACGGGGGCTGTGTTTTCAATCGGGCTGCAGCGGTTCGCTGACGTGCTCATCGTGACCCAGCAGGGTTCCACAAGACTTTGTGTTTGTGGTCTGACTTGCAGTGGATGCGCGCCCGTTGGACCTCTGACCCTTGCTACGCCTTCTATGGCGTGGACGGCTCCGACTGCTCCTTCCTGGTCTACCTGAGCGAGGTGGAGTGGTTCTGCCCCCCGCTGGCCTGGAGGAACCAGACCGCCACCCCCACCCTGAAGCCTCCGCCCAAGACACAGGTAACACAACAGCTCCTTACCACAGGAACAGTTTGAACCGAGGTGTGCGCCCTGGAAATACCGCGACTGTAACTTTAGTGGTTCGTCGCTGATGCAGCTGAAAATCCTTATAGCTTCTTCCCCGAGTTGAAGCATTTAATCCTTCATTTTTTGATCAAACGCTCCTGAGAGGATATGAGCGCCATCTCCCACTCCCTCCCCCACACCCCCCCTCCCCTAGAGTGACGCACAGCCGTCAGGTCGGGGGCCCCCTGGTGTGAATTCACTCCGCGGCTCTACCTTCTGCTCTAATTAACGCCTGCGTTCGCTCACACTAATCCCGAGACTTCCTCTCGGCGCTCCGCGGGCCTGCCGCGCCGCACACGCCGTGCTCTGGAGAGCGACGATTGGGAGGGCGCAGCGCGGCTCTGAATATTGATATTTGATATTTAACGTGCGTGTTTGACAGAGGCAGATGGTCCGTTTTGGGGGGGGGGCGGCGTTTTTTCCCTTCTTTGCACTGGCGTATTGGACGTAGTGCACTGGTTGTATGTGAGCAGGAGAGGAGGTGTAAAAGGAGGTATGAGGATGATCCAGGGTTAGAGTTAGGTTGGGTTGGGTTGGGTTTAGGGGTTAGGGGTTAGGGTTAGGGGTTAGGGTTAGGGTTGGGTTGGGGTTAGGGGTTAAGTTGTGTGGTGAACGCGGTCCTCCGAAGAGGGCCACGGGGGTACTGGCACAAGGGGGTTGGGGTTAGGGTTGGGGTTAGGGGTTAGGGGTTAGGGTTGGGTTGGGGTTGAATCCCTCTGACAGGCCCCGCTCCGGGGCTCCGGCAGAAAGCAGCTGTATAGTCTCCTCCATGAAATGCTCTTTCGCATTTACACTGTAAATACCGTCGGTTCTACACTTCTTTTTCTTTACCTCCTCCCATCATCCAGGCTGCTTTCCGGTCCGACATCGGGGCCCTGCTGGAGCAGGTGGGCGCCGGGAAGGAGTCGCTGAGCTTCATGAAGCGGCGCATACGCAGGATGGCGGCGCAGTGGGCCTCGGCGGCTCGGCGGCTGGATGACAAGCTGCGCGACCACCGGCGGGAGCAGAAGAGGGTGAGTATGCGAGCGTTGGTATCGGAGAACGAGTTTGAGTTGCGGTTTCATCCTTTGAAGCCAGACAAGACGAGCCAGTGAAAAATGCTCTTTTGTCTCGGTTTTCGAGAGTTTTCTTTCTTGTCTTGTTGTGAAACTGTGCTCCAGCTCAGCTCCAAATTTAGGCATCAAAGAGGCAAATAAACCCTGTTAGCTCGGGATGTTTTGGATCAAACGTGAGAAAGCCAGACAGCCCTTTAATGGCCACATGCTAGGCCGCTAAATGATCAGAGCACCAGTGAGTTTGTTGGATTTTAAACGGACATGATAGATGATGCGGATCTGCTCTTTGCAGGCGTTTCATGCCGTGTCATCGCTGACATTTCCACAAAGCATCCGAGAGCGCTGACTGCAGTCGCTCGGTGAAGTGGCATCAGACTCCTCCTGGCGTCTATGTAACAGCCTTCACCTCGTACTGTGAGGAAAGGAAATGACTGATAACGTTTCTGAGAAGGAGCTTCCTTCTATCATCCTGTGACAAGCAGCAACTTCACAGTCACTGATCCAAACCGCTACCCTTTCATCCCTCCATCGGCGAGTTATTTTTGCCCGTTTGTGGCTGTTTGATGTGTTGGGAGACACGTGGCGATTTCTTTGTCTTGAAATGCTGCCAGGCATTTGTTTTTCCTCCATAATATCATGAACTGGTTATTAAACTCCAGACAAACCACTCGATGATTCCTGTTTAGGGGGATGAATTTTTTAAAGGAGCGCCACCAAAATGTGAACAGCTGTGAGCTGCGTTCACTATTCTACACAACCGGGTTCCACTGCTTAACATACAGCTAAGCCATATGACACACGCAGCAAAATTGTCGTTACCCTGTTTCTATGCCTACCTGATTCAAGATGTGCACAGTACCTTCTGTCTATTAGAGAGAGACTCCGCCCTTTGCTTTGCTTACTGGAGATATGAGGCGATTGTTTCAGACTTTTTCATTTCATAAAAACCAGAAGTACCTGGAAAGGCACCTCTGAAAAGCTTTGAAAAAACGAGAGGAATGAAAGACAATCATTTGTAGTGTTTCTTTATTATTTCTTTAAAAGCTTAAAAAGTGTGTGGGAGATCCAGTCTTCCATTTAGATGCTGGCGCTGTCTCTACTGCCCGAGGCTTTTAAGATAGAGCCAAAGTTTAATTACTTTGTCTCTGGTTCTCCCGCTGGTGCCTGTGTGGAAAAACCTTAACGAGAGAGAGAAACTGAATTTCTGAGCAAAACCGACTTTTGGCGACCTGCCAGCCGCTGTCAAACTCAGACTCCCCCCCTTTAGACCCTTTGGACTTTATTTCATTTTGAGTGACGCGAGTGACTAGATTTCCTTCCAGTTGCCCCTTCGGGGCTCATCTAACAGTATCCGTTCAGTATGTGAGCACTGCATATTTTCTATTTATATAAAATGGAGAAATCTGCCTGATCCCATTTGGCATTTCACTCACCATCATAGCAGCAGTGTAGAACACAACATGTTTTTGGATTGGTAATTGTTTCAAAATTGAAAAGAAATTGCAATAAAACGTTTCTAGTTAATGGATTTAATTGTCAAAAGTGCCAATTTGAAAACCAATTTATCCGCGTGGGATGTATGCTAGACCGGCCAGGGAAACATGGGAAAGTCTTTTTTAGAAAACTGTTCTGTCAACACAAAACACAACATGAATCTGTATTTGATTCAGAAACATGTTCATATCTACAGTATGAGTTGGAGAGTTTTCTTGAAAAAAATCCTCCCATTCTATTCATTACTAAACTTATCTACTAGACCTTAATAATGAATAGAATAGAACGTTTTTTCAAGAAGAAAATTATTGAGGAAAAAAAAAAATCTAATTTCATTTCATATTCACCAGCCCGGAAATTCCACCCTCCCCCCATCAGCAATTAAAGCGCCCGTGCATCGTACTGCATATCAATTAGCCTTCCGCAGGTCAATTTTCATTTCAACTCCATGCGCCGCTGATTGTATTTCTTAGGAGTGTGACTTTGCTGTCAATCTGCTTTATCGCATTCATTAGACACCCAATTATATTTCAAATTTGACATCATCGATCCATGCCAAATATCTGAAATGAATCACATGGAAATCATTTTATAGCAGTCAGTTATTCACCCGGCACAACTGGAGATTGTCTGAAAATAAAAATGTAAAAGAATTATGGAAACAATGTCCTTTTCTCTGCAGTGAGTGCAGAAAGGTTTGAACAACGAAGCGTTAGTGAGACACAACAATGCCGCGCGCTGCGTCTCTTTCCTCCACTTCATTCCATTTCATTCTGCACCCAGATTCTAGTTCACGTGGGCTTTCTGACCGAGGAGTCCGGGGATGTTTTCAGTCCCAAAGTGCTGAAGGGGGGTCCGCTGGGTGAGATGGTGCAGTGGGCCGACATCCTCACAGCCCTCCACGTGCTGGGACACGACCTCAAGATCTCCGTGTCCCTCAAGGAGCTGCACGGGTGAGTTTGATTTCATCTTTTCCCGTCCGGCTACCATGCAGTCAGTGTGCAACACCGAGCTTTGTGTGCTACTGTGTCGCCCATGCATATTTACCGGGGTATTGAGGGCGTCGGTGCATTGGTGCAGAAATCATCCGCTGTTTTTGTGATTTATCCTTATTAGCAATTGTCGAATGAAAATGCTTTGTTGTCTATTCTACAAACCGGCAGCCCAACCGCTGCTCCCTCACTGCACGCCACCCCCCTCCGGCCACACGGATAATCCGGGGGAAGCTGCCCGGAGGGCGCGGGCGGGCCTGTCGCTCGCCATCCCAAACGGCAGGCCTCACGCCGGTTGACACACGGACGTCTAAGAATACAACGACTCCTGGCGAGGCGTGACCAGAGGTCAGACGGGGGGGGCGGCAGCTCGGTCTGGTTTTCTCGCCGCCGTGAGGTTTCACAGCGGCTCCGGCTTCACGCCGGCTGGTCGGATGACATTTTTCATGTCGACTCTTTTCTGCCGGTGGAGGAACGAGAAGCCGAAGCCGACGGGCTGATGACGACGCGCGCTCCGCGTTGAGTAGCGTGTCCGGAGCTGCAGGCGGCATCGACCGGCTCGAGCCGCCTTTTGATCCTCGACCGTGGTGGAGAAAAGCCGCCTTGATAGTTATAGACCCAGGGGGGGGGGGGTTAAGATGCCGCAGTGGGGATGCTTCAGCTAACCGTGCTTTTGTTTGCCCCACTAATTGGTGTCATGGTGAATACCTGCAGACGGTTCCTGTGGGAATAACCACGGGGAGGTTTCGGAAATGGCTGAATGTTATGGCTAATGCCTTCCAACAGATGAATATGGTACCTTTGTGTGTCTGCATTTAAGTCGTCATGCAGCAGAGAGAGAGAGAGCGAGATGCTTTATTCAGGGATTTGTATGGACTTTGTACATTTATATAAGTGTGCTGTGGTGTTCCATTAGTGCTGATTTCAGCCTCTATTCATCAGAAAACGAAATGTTCAGCCTCAGAGAAAATATAATGGGAAGCCGAAATGGAAGGCAAGTAGATTTATGATCCGGCTCAGACCACATTCACTCTCCCCACGAAAACACAACCCAGTGTACATATCCCACCATTTTTATGGCCATCTTGAATTGGCCAGTTAATGGCAGAAGCTGAACATCCATAAATCCCCCTCCCTGTGACTATTGGCGAACATAAAAAGGGAAGATTTCTCTCCATCCCTCCCTCTACCACATGCTCTCAAATTGACGGATCATTATGTGGGTTGTGCTCCTTCAGATTCCCTCAGGCTTGTATCTATTTACATGTCCTGCTCTTCACTTTCCTGCCCAGGCTTTGGGGGAAAAAAACAAAAACAGTTTAATATCACTAAACCGCCTGCTGTGGTCCTTGCGTGGACAGGATAGTTGATATGTATCGAGTTTTTCGCCGGCAGACAGATTAGTCACAGCGGGCGCTCCGCTGCGGTGGGAGTCAAGCTGTTGCTTTGCGGCGCATAATTGCCTCTAATTGGCAACCTTCATTTTCTCTCGGTGGCTTCAGTGAGTAGTCACTTTGCCTGCCGTCTACTTCAACCCGTTATGCTCGCACGTCCCGCCTCCTTCTTGTCCGTTGAAGATGCTGCAGATGCCCCCCCCCCCCGATGTCAAAAAACAATCCCGGCTCTGCATTCGCTGAAGTAGCAGCCGTTGCCCCATAAAAAGCCTTGACCGGTTCCAACTATGCAGCGAATCGTAAATTTAACGTCGGGGTGATGTCCATGTTGGCCTCCTTATAGCGGCATCAGATACTGGCCACCGGTTGGCAAACTGGTAGACTGGAAATAGATGAAGAGAAAAAGAAAGATGCAGGTAACGGACGATGATCAGAAGATGAAGCACATTCCTGGTTTACTGTAATTAAAGTGGCCGTGACATCACCGGCGCACCGGGGGAAAAGACGCCTCCGAGGCAGTTTGCAGGCCGCCGAGGACGGCTGCCACTTCCGCTCGGGCATCTCATCCCCTCCCAGAGGGACGTGGGTGATCAGCAAGGGGAAAAACAGGGGAGGGCGGAGGAGGGCGGAGGCAGCTTGCAGCCTGTCAGGTGGAGCGACGGACTGGAGAGGCAAAGCGCTGTGATCCCGAGCCGCTCGCGCTCAGCTGACCCCACTGTTTTTACTCGCTATTGGATCTGCGGCTCCGGTGAAACCCCATTTGGCTGAGAGCGGTTCCATTCCAATTAGGTTGAGCGGGCTTCACTCGACGGAGCATATTAACACCGGGACATTTCTTTGCCCTCGTACTCTCCCTGAAAACACACAGACGTGCTGGAGCCGTGTGATCAGTGTTCCTAAGGAATCGTTTAACAAATGTCAAATTGGGGGGGGTCAATTGTATCTGTAATCCTGCAGCCGGAGCGCTGGAAGTGATGAGAGGCTTGTGCAGGGCTCTGTGAAGTGGTAAAAAGAAAGAAAAAAAAAACGTGAAATAAAGCTGTCGTTTCTCTGGAAGCTCCAACAAAGAGCCGTATTGTTCTGCCAGCCGCGGCTTATTCCTCTCTGTGAGTGCTGATGCGCTCTCACCCTGCAGCCTTGTGATTGATGTGCCTTTGTTTCTCTGCTGTTAGACTAAATGCAAAAAAATGCTGCATTGATAAAAAAAATAGCCGGGGTGGGCCATGAGCTAGGTAGCATCTTCAGGGCTTCCCTCCAGCTCAGTGTTGCAGGGTGACTAATTGAGGTTAACTGTGCTGGTCCTTAATGTCACAACTGTAGTGCCCTAAAAAGTTCAGTGTCTCTAAATATATGTTGCCCTTAAGCCTCCGTGTTGTTGTTTTTTAATGGACAGGTTCAAACCAATTTGCCCAGTAGGTTCCCTGCTCACCCCGAATTGTTTTTCTTCTGCAGACACTTTAATAAAATGAGGCCCTCTTGTGGAGATGACTGAAGGAGAAAAGACAAACGAGTGGCTGACAACACAAAAGACGTCTGAAATATAAATTCACCCCGGACCTTTTCTTTTTCTCATGCATGCAGATATATTTCCCGCAGCAAGAAGATGGAGCACAATGGACTTTCTTCATCAAAATACAGTCGTCGTGGCGATACTGCACATGGGCTGTATCTTATCACAACAGCTTCCACATCTGGATTTTCCTCTCCTCTTATCCTGCCGTCTCGAGTGGTCGATTAGCATTCCGGAGGCCGCCCTCAATAACACCCCCGTTGCCCCGCCCCCCCCCCCAACCTCGGGCCTTCCAATGCACCTGTAAATCTGCCTCAGGCGATTCCCCTCGCCGTTGGACATATGCACCCTGTGATGTAGTGTGACAGTGAGGTCTGTAACTCTCTTTGGTTCGATTCTCTCCCATTGCCCCGAAAAACCTTGAGTTGCCATAGCGCCGGTGTCCCGCTGTGAAACAGAGAGCGCTTGTGCCCGATGGTTGTCAAAAGGGTTTTGGGAAATTCAACTTTTGCACCTTTTTTGTTCTTCTTTTTGCAGTCTTTCTCTTTTTCGTGAAGCGGATGTTTTCCTTCTGCAGAGCCTACATGCTCTTAAAATACAAATAAAAGCTGAATTCATCCTTCTCACGATTGCTGCATGTGCAGCCAGAGCCTGATGAGGTTTATGTTTAAGAGCCGAATCCAATCCGAATGGTCTGAAATCTGTTAAAGACACAATTAGAAACTGTACACAGGGACATAATCCTTCATTCCGAAGGACGCAGCCAGTGTGATCCCTCCTGAAACGACTCTGTAATTGCATTTTTAATATTTGAAGAGCAACTCTCAATATCGCCGCGCGTGCTTCCTGGTCGTGTTTACGCTGCTGAGAGGGAAGCAAAACAACTGCGATACAACTCGTATGAAAACCCCGTTGTGTGCGTCTTCAGAGTACAGTGTAAATCAGGGTTCTACAGTTCTTGTTAATAGGATGCATTCGTTACTCGCTGTGGTGTCTTAGTGGGATTTGTTGATCATGATAAAAAGATTAAATAACGCCAGCCTGCGTCTGTGAAGAAGAAAACAACAACAACAACATCGAGAGATGGGATTATTTGTGCCCGCTTGTGTACGTGTGCTCCTAATGAATGTGTGCTTGTGTGTTAGACTCCTTACTCCTAAATGCACTTTAACAGACTCTCGCCTTAAAGTTGTCTGAGATTTGCATATAACCAATTAAACCTCTGAGCAGCAGCAGCTTCAGTGGATCTGTGAGGAGCCGAGTCACGTACACTCACTGTTGTGTATCTCTGATTCAACCTTAAACACACACACACACACACTAGTGAGGCACACATTATTTAAGCAGCACAGACACACCACTCATCAGTGAAACTATGTGATTGAGAGATATACGTAATGCCTTTTTATTTATCCTTAAAGAGATCTTTGGCGTGTGTGTGTGTGTGTGTGTCGGTGTGTGTGTGTCGGTGTGTGTGTGTGTCGGTGTGTGTGTGCTGCTTTTAGTGTGTTGTGTGAAAGTCAATGTCAGCGTTCTTCAGCAAAGTCAAGTCAGTTGTCCCTCCACTTTGTTCTCAGACTGAAATGTCTCCACGGTGTAGGAAAGGATTTGACAAATGTCAGACTGGCACTCCATCATGTCTTTAATCCTGCAGCCGGAAACGTGGAAGTGAAGAGAAGCACGTGCAGCGAAATCATCTCACTTTGGTGAATATTACTTTACTTTGGTAAAGTATTAGGAAACCCGCCTGCACCCGTTGCATAAAACCCAAACACGGCGTGAAGGAGTGAGAAGCGCTTCTGTTTGAGTGACCGTTGAGCTGCTCGGGTCCTTTGACGGACGGGGCCGCGGTTTGAAGCTCCGTCGGCCGACACGCTCTCGCTCATGATACCTTCTGCTGTGTCTGCTTCCAAACGATGTTCACGGTCCACGCAAAGCTCCACACAGGCTCTTGTTTGGCAGGTATTTGTGTGTGTGTGTGTGCGCGCTGTATTATCCTATTCAAAGGGTTTACAAACTGCCCCGTGTTGCATTATCTTAACATCCAGTAAACTATGTTTAGCACCACAGAGTATCTCACTGATCCGCACGCCCGCTTCCTCTTCTCCTGCTGCTCTGTTGTTGTCTCGAAAGGGCCGCTGGAGTTTGACAAAGCGTCACCACCACCTGCCATAAGAAGAGACACACTAGATGTGTTTTTTTCCCAGCTGAAAGCAGTGCGCTCTGAGGCTGCACAACACTTTGTCGCACGTTTATATCTGCTGTCTTTCCTGGTTTTGTAAGTGCTCTCGTCTGGGTTTTACTCTTCAGGCAACAGGTGCTTCATTGCGCCTGATCAAACACGTCTTGGCCACTGCACGTAACGGAGAACTAACTAAGACAGTGACTCATATACCTGTTGTGTTATTAGGTGGTTTTGTGTAACCCATGCTGGTGCACAACGGAGTCCCAGGGAGGACAGGGAGTCCGTTCTCTTGGGAGCATGAATGCCTGCACCTAATTTGGTGGAAGTCACGTAGTTGCGGAGATATTTCAGTCTGAAAGTGGCGAAACAAAACTACCAACGCGAGAGAGAAGGAACGGAAAGGCCCCGCTGTGGCTGCCAACGTTTGTGCAGTAAATTGCTTGGAAGGCATCGTGACAAAAGGCAGCGCAGCATAAAAAAATATCTCTCAGCATGAGGCAGAGGGACGGCGAGGACACTGACGTCCTCCCCCGCCATCCGTCTCTACACCCGACCCAACCCGAGTCCTACGAGCACCCACGCACGTGCAGAGAAAGGGGAGAAACGGTGACGTGTCGTTGGCTTCTTTGGGCTCGGTCCAACGGTAAAACCCCCTCTGACCTGTCTGCAGGTTTTTGGGCGTCCCTCCGGGAAGAGGAAACTGCCCTCTGACAGGACCTCTGCCCTTTGACCTCATCTACACCGACTACCACGGCCTGCAGCAGATGAAGCACCACATGGGCCTGTCGCTGAGGAAGCACAAGTGAGTACCGTGCTCCCTCTGTCCCTCCATCTACGTGCAGTGTGTGTTTGTTGCAGTCATTTCTTTCTTACTGCTGCAACGCTTCGCCATCGGCTTATTGACTGTTACACGCCGGTGGACTCCGGGCCGGAAACTGCACCGTGCATCAGCGAAATTCGCCCTCGCAGATTCAATTTGGCCTCTTTACGCGGCGATCAATCAAGCAGGTGCAGGTTTCGACACAAACTCTGCCCTTTATATGCAACCCCAGGTTGCTTGAAATGAATGAAAAGCCTGTGCACACACGTACATAGAAACGCATCACATTTAGTTCATGTTTCGTGTACTCAAACGAACTGCCCACAACCCCCGAGTGGTTCCACGTCGGTTCCTTTCTGAAGAGGCAGTTGTTGTCCAGCTGAGCGGCACCGAAGCAGCTAAAAGCAAAAGCAAATGCAAACGTTTTTACCCAAACACAGAAAAACAAATGTGCAAATTACAACTCTAGGAAGGCAAATGCATTTAGGGCGAAGGGAAGAAGCCCAGCAGTGTGTAAATGGTGATAACCGTGTTGGCTGTAATGTTGTTATGTTGTTTTATGGAGCCGAACTGCGGCTGCGTTTTATTCCACATTTTACTCACGAGCGGAGAAGATTATATTCCTACGAAACGACTCACGTTGCACAGTAATTCACGTTGACTCCTCCGCGTTCGGGGGAAACCTCCGCTCCCTCCAATCAGCGGCCCAACGTCAGCTGATCGACCGGCGCCGCTCAGCTGTCACCGAGCAACAGACCGGGATTTTAAACACCCCCCCCCCACCCCCATCCCCACCCTGACATTGATTACAGCGGCGGGGCATTGATCCGTCTCTGACGACATTACAGCAATTGATTTTTGACTTCTCGGTGTGAATATTTACCGCTGATAAAGCGCTAATGTAATTCTCTGCCACGCTCGTTTTACACTAACGGAATCATTTGATTTTGATTTCCTGTGTCGGTGCTGCCTTCACCTTATCACAGCGAATATTAAACCCGCTGCAGTCCATCCAAAGAGAGTTCAGTGACTCTTTTCCCCTCAGACCTGCGGCTTGCGTCGTGTTGTGTCCCAGCTGAGGGCCTCAGGGTGGCCCCGATTTAAGCCCCGCGCGACTTGACTTGGGTCTAATTTCAGCTGCCCTTGATTCTTACTTCGTCCCCAGGTGCCACATCAGAGTGATCGACACCTTCGGCACGGAGCCGGCTTACAACCACGAGGAGTACGCCACCCTGCACGGCTACAGGACCAACTGGGGCTACTGGAACCTGCGCGGCCAGCAGTACATGACCATGTTCCGTACGTGGGCTCCAGTTTCTCTCTCAGCTCAAGTACAACCGCCCGCGTAATTGTCAGGGATGCTCTCAGGCCGAGCGCCACCTGCCTGCAATTCATTTTTTGGAGTTTTCACTTCATTCCGGGTACGCAACAAAAGTCAACCAGCTAATTGATGTGAATATCAGCGGCATTGTTTCACCACACAAATCGATGGCGTCTCCACAGTCTTCCTTTCGTTTAGTATTCTCCGAATGCGGAGCGGCCCGGATCTCCTCTCCAGCTCCTTTCACTTCAGTCTTATTTGTCCGAGACATGAAATTGGACTTGTTACAGTGGCTTTGTTCATCCCCGGCAGCCCACACTCCAGATAACTCCTTCATGGGTTTTGTGGCGGAGGAGCTGAACGAGACGGAGCGGCTGAACATCCAGCGGAACAAGGTCAACAACATGGCTGTTGTGTACGGCAAAGACGCCAGCATGTGGAAGGTCAGTGTCCCTAGACGGCTCCCGCAGATCCCCCTGCTTTTGATTTGTGTGGGACGTACTCGCAGAACCTCTAATCCACGGTGCTTTGGTTTAATCCGCTAACTTTAAAAGCTTTCAATGAAAGATGATGAAATGGCTTTGGAGAGCACACAAAGTGCTACACAACCGTCCCCCCGCGTGAAGCCGAGTGTGGCGCCGTGTCGTGTAACTGTGGTTTCACTCAGGGAAATGGCAGCTCTTTCAAGAGGCTCCCAGCGAGCCCCTGCGGGGTTTCGTTAAGGGGACCTTTTATCAGCCGTGGAGGCCTTTCGCTCATCGTGCGTCTTTTCAAATCCGTCGTCCCACAGAAAACTGATGTGTTTGTTAGGGAGGTTTGCAACATGAGACCAAATTGAATGTTTTGCAAGGGTGCAATGGAGAGTGGTATTCCCAAACAGGGCTTATTAATTAATGACATCAGGCAGAAGCTTTCGTTGTGCCTGCAGCACAAGCCCCCCGGTAGGATCTGTGCCGGTGTTTTCGTTACATCCTCGTTAGAAATCGAATCCCACAGCTTCACATACAGTACTTTGTTATTTTTAGGATAAACCTGAAGTTTAAGTGTTCAGTAGGACACGTTATTGCACGCTCATTGAGGTACGACGGTGGAGCATTAATAAATCTAGTCCCCTGTTGATTTTTCCCCGAGCTGCGCTGGTGTCTCCGGGGGGGGACGGTGCCGTGCATCTAACGCATGTTTGCAGTCGTTGCGTTCACGAGGTTCTGTGGATCTGAACCTAAAGTTTGAGGAACTTTTGCATTCCGCACGCATCATCAAACACGCACAACACGTTTCATCTCCTCCAAACAAGTCCGTCCTCCAGGAATCCGGCCTGAAGTGAGATGGTAGAGGAACAATTGTTTTTGTTTAGTAAAAAAATTTCCCTCCGAGCTGCTGGCACGATTCCTCCTTCTCGCTGTAACTTTGAAGCGCGCCGCAGCCCCCCCCCCCGCCCTCCCCGAGGTTCGCTGGCTGCAGCTTTGTTCCTACACCAACACAACATTCCCCGGCTCTCTGCTGAGGAGCAGCGTCTTCCAGCTTTTGAGGTTATGAGTTTCACGTGAGAGATTTGGGATGAGAAAAGGTCCCATGAGAGGAAGAAGGACTAATACTTGATGTCATATTCTTTTCCTGCCTCTCACCACTCCGCTGCTGTTCTATCCTGCATTCATCCTCCCATGATGCATCACTGACGGTGTCCCTCAGCTTCAAGTAAGTACACCTGCTTTTCGCTGGTATTATTGATCGAATAGCAAAATAAGACTTGTTTTTTAGTTAGTTTAGCCCAAAAAATTATATTTCACTTCAGCTGTGAATTTATTTATTTACTTAACGTAACTTTTCAATGACAGTTCATTCAAAAGTGTTTCAAATATATGAAATAACTTCTGAGTTACAGACTTTCTACTGAAACACGACCTTGTAATGTAGCATAGAGGAGCTTATTAAGATTAGATAAATGAAAGTTGAGGTTTGTCATCTTACCGAATCCCCATAAAGTTGATCATCAATCAATTATTTGCAACTCGCATAAACAGAGAGAAAAGCAAAAGTAGAAGAAAGTATGAGTTCATCTCCATGTTGCTCGAAAACTCAAATTAAAATAGCCCGAGATGAAAAACGAGGAAAAACACAGATGACATTTCTAAATGATTTATGCCTTGAAGACACATCATTAGTGAATAATTAATATCGTTCCGCCAGAAACACTTTTTTGAGATAAACTAATTAATTTTCACTTTAGTGAAATAATTCAAACAAATAGTTTCCACGGGCGACACCGAAGATACACATTGATTTTAGGTCTTTGGTCCTCCGCAGGTACCGAATGAAGGCTGTTAGCGCTAACAAGAGCAGAGTCAGGTCTTTTCATCTGCTCGCCTCATTTCCATGAAGCACATTTTCATCAGGCCGAGGTCATACTGCCGCCCTCCCAAAAACCTTTTGGGGCTTTCCTCCTCTTGCGCTTTCAAGAGCAGTTGTGTTCCACTCGGATTAATCTATTCAATTAGTCAAAGCGCAGCCGGCGCTGCAGGAAACGCAAATAAAAAGAACTGGCAGCAGTTAGTCCAACGAGACAATTATTCACGCCTTCTTAATTGAATCAGTTTTCAAGGCAGAAGACACGAGAAAACGAGAAATCTACAAAGTTGCCAAATATTCTGCTCGAACTGCAAGTGAACTTATCATTTCAGAGAAAAGCACGAGGCATTCAAAGACTAAAACCAGCCAATAGGGATACAATGAAGCAATGTAACTCTACAGTGTTTACGTTTCAAGTTCCTTTTTTCTTTTGTTTGTTACAAAGGGGAAAGAAAAGTTCCTTGCCATTCTGCATCGCTACATGGAGATCCACGGCACGGTCTACTACGAGGCGCAGCGTCCTCCAGAGGTTCCCGCCTTTGTAAAGAACCACGGCCTGCTGCCTCAGCAGGAGCTGCAGCAGCTGCTCAGAAAGGCCAAGGTGAGGCTTCCGTGATTTGAATGTGGTTTTGTTAAACCTGGATATGAGCTTCATCATCCCCCCCTCCCCCTTTTTCTTTTTTTGATTTTCCTGCCGAAGCTGTTCATCGGGTTTGGCTTTCCCTACGAAGGTCCCGCCCCTCTGGAGGCCATAGCCAATGGTTGCATCTTCCTGCAACCCAAGTTTAATCCCTCTCACAGCTCTCTCAACCATGACTTCTTCAGAGGGAAGCCTACCTCCAGGAAGGTGGGTTTCTATTATTGTTGTCTCAGCCACCAGCATCGAGGCGTCTTAACAAAAGTACACAGATCTTGACTTGACCCGCATCGTTGTGAATGTTATATCCCATCTATTCCTCCCCAGGTGTCCTCTCAGCATCCGTATGCAGAGCAGTACATTGGCCGGCCGCACGTCATCACCATCGACTTCAACAACTCTGAAGAGTTTGAATCGACCGTCCGTGAGATCATGAGGATGAATGTATGTTAATTTATTGGCGTTTTCCACCCTGCCTCAGCATTATAATGCCGCCGCATAAAATGACGGTCTTTCACAGCACACCGCCGCATAATGTTTGCAATGCTTTAAAGTCTGACTTGACCCACTTCTGAAGCCGTGAGCCTTCAGCAGACCTCTTCATTATGGCATCCCACGTTACAGAAAAGCGCTGAGCTGGCCCGCGCCGCGCGCGCTGCTAATTGCTTGAGGTATTCCGCGCCTCGGGAGGTAAATTGTGCCCACACCTGAGTATACACACAGCGTCCTGCAGCAGATCACATTAATCAATCACGCTGTGCTCAATCTGTCGCCAGAACCACAGCGGGGCCGCGCGGCGCCAAAGGTGCAGGTGTACCTGCAGCTTTTCTTGAACGGGCCCCGTGTGTGAGGCAGGATGAAGTGGAGAAAAGCAAACGTATTTGCGTAGCACATTCTCACCACGCGGCAATTCACATAAAAACCAACAAAACGTCAGGCGAAAAAAAAGGAAAGTAGGGGAGGAAGAAACAACACTAATCACACAGGCTGACCGGGGGAAGGTTCCCGTTCATTTAAAAGAATTAATTGGAAGTAACGGCAGCTTAATTTGACTTGATCTTGACGAGCATACCGCCGCGCTTCAACGTCAAATTGATGATACCGTTACGTTTTGTATTAGAAAAAGGGATGTTTTTGGGAGAGACCCCCCACCCCCCCACCCTTCCCCTCGCTCTGAATCCATTACATAAATATGCCCAAAAGGAAAATTGCATTGCGGAATATCTGATGAAGTGCCAGATACATTTCATTAAACTCAGATGATATAAAGTAATAACAGAGCGCTGAAAGGATCACAACACTAAAAAGAACTATTTATCAGTTTACAGCCCGAGTGCTTGTGGCCTGATAGTAAACAATGAGATCTCACTCAAGGGTCCATGAGAGACATTCATTTCCTCAGCGAGACTCCCGACACAACGTATCACGAGGCGTCCATGATAATTGAAATCATCAAAATGATATAGGTTTTAAATTGTAGCAATAAGACCAAAGACATTAAACTGTAGTCGTTTGTCTTCCGGTTCCCCTCAACACTAAAAAGCCATTGATCAGCGTCTCAGTGGATCAGAATCTATTTCCTGTCATCAAAGAGACGGGCGATGAGTGACGGCCCTTAACATCGACGCTGATAACGGCACCCGAAGGACAGAGAACGCACAACCCCCCCCCAGTGCTCGATGACCTGTAGCCTGCTTTCAGTTTAATCCAACGTATTGATGAAGTCATCGCTAAACATAATTAAATCACTTTTCAAAGCTGTCAGCGGTGATGTATTAGGTCATTGATTTGAATGTATGGCATGATATAAGCCACTCGCGCTAATGAATGTGTCAGCTTTGATTAACTATCAGATGCTCTGTTCCTGTAATTATAACACACACACACACACACACACACACACAGTTTCCTCATCCTGTGACATCCGTGTTTGCAGGTGAAGCCCTTCTTGCCGTATGAGTACACCTGTGAGGGGATGCTTGAAAGAGTCCACGCCTACATTCAGAACCAGGTGGGTCTCAGAACTCAACCGAGTCAGAAGGCATGCTGGGTAAAGTCGTAGTGACGCTATGGAACATATTCCCAAGGGGCATTTGTTGTGTCATAGCAGATCGGGTCTTCACAAGAAGAGAAAGGAGATGAACTGCTCGGCCGTTTGTTATTATCGCTCAATACGATGCGAGACAAGAAGTGCAGCGCAATTATGTGTTGCTGAAACTGTAACGGCTTCGTTAATAAATAACTGTAAATAGTCTCTAAATCACCATGGCGATCGTTGCTACAGAGGGAGTTTAGGTGTGACCCAGAGCGGCAGTATTGATCAAATATAATTCTAAAATCAACATAATTATGTACACATGTACCACATGTAAATTTAGCTGAAAGAATTTCTGAGAATTTTCTCAAAAGCTTTGCATTCAAAACCAAAATGGGTTTACACAATGAAAAATATTCTAAATACAAATAGTGGCATACGGCCCTTATATCCGCTACATTCCTGCCGAGCTGTGCGTGTGTGTGTGTCACAGATGCTATCTGTGTTTAGGAGTGGGAGATCGGAATCCCAGTTATTGCCTGCGTGTACTCTGAGCCCGTTTTAATAAACGGGTGTGAAGGCCAATGGGACGTGTCAGAGAAATGTTATTACCTGGTTCTTATGAATAGCCCCAGCCGGAGGGGGAACGTAATCAGGCCTCTCACCGGAGCCTAATTCTGCCTCCAAACACCGTTTCTCATTGGCTGCCATAACGGCATCGGCATCCTTTCCTGGAGGATTGACGAGGACTTTGTCAGCTCTGATAAGCGCCTCTGGATCATAACGGTTCCTTTTTATTATTGCCTCCTATCAGCTGTCCGGACCAGAGCTGCATGCGTAATTCGTCAGGAGCGAGTTCGTTAAGTGTTTGCGACACAACAACCAACGTGTTTCTGTCTTTCGCCCCCCCGGCAGGACTTTTGTCGCCCCGAAGCTCCGTTTCCTCCGGTCAACTCGTCGTGGCTCGGCGACGCTCCCGGTCCTTTCGTCCTCCCGCCCGACTCCAGCATCCTCGCCTGGGGCGCCAACGCCAGCTCCTACGCGCCGTGGCCCCCCCTCAGCGCGCTGCGCCTCCTGGCCTCGCCGGAGGGCCAGTCGTGCGTGAGGGCGTGCCGGAGGGCGGGACTCGTCTGCGAACCCGCTCTGTACCGTTTCATCAACATCAGGGAGGCCTTCAGCGCGTAAGAGGAGGGGATTTCTTCTGTTAAACGCCGAATGTGAAGTAATCATCGCGTATCGGAGTTTTTAAAGCAAAAAAAAAAGGGCAATTCATGTCATTTTAATTTCCATTTCTTTGGGTGGTCATGTTGTTTCTCAGGGGGGCGAGCGGGAAGCCCGCTAATTGATCCATGTGCAAGTTTATTCCGCCCGTATGAAAAGATCCTGGACCCCAAATCGCTGCTGAAGACCCCACGCGTGTGCATGTGTGTATATGTGTGAATTTAGCATATAGATTAGCTCCTTTGTAGCAGCCTGTGCCGTCGGTGGATGAATGGGTGAGAGGTTGAAAGGGGTATTTTCCAGCCTACTCTATACCCATTATTGTGATATACAAATTCATCTTGCATTGTGTCCCAGCACAATGCCGCATCCGCACGATTGATTACTTCTTGATTCATTGTGGACTTTTTGAGTTGCTCATTCTGCAAAATAATAAATTGGTATAAGTTCCTTTCCCTCTCCGCAGGGTCAAGGCTCATTAGCACTCGTCGTTACACAATTATGCAGCAGCACAAACTACAAAGGGAGACACCAGGGCATTCTTTACCTGTCATACTTCCCTTAATGGGGCAGAACTGTAACATTAATATGAATTCTATTTCCGTGACAATGATCATTGAGTCTCAAGTCTTCACCGTTCATTCTAACCTTCGTCCTTCGTTTCCAGACTGGACCTCCAGTGTGACGGGTTGGAGTCGGAGATGAACCACCTCTTCCCCGCCTTCTCAGCGGAGCACGCGGAATGCGGCCTGCAGCGGGACCCGCTGCTGTTCAGCTGCGCCGGCTCCAGTGGCCGATACCGCCGCCTGTGCCCCTGCAGAGACTATCGCGTGGGCCAGGTGGCGCTGTGCAGAGACTGCCTATGACTGGAGGAGGACGCTTTGTAGTCGGCGTCGTAGAGACGGCGTGGCACATAGACTCTACTCCGACGGTGTAACCTCTCAGGGAGCTGCATGATTGTACTTTGAATGTGGTGGGTTTGAAGCTTCAGTTTAAAGGTTTCACGTGGCGGCAGTCTTCACTAAAGCGGCGATGCAACGTCTCATCGACGCATCGGTTCGATTAGTAGGGGAAACCACGCGCATACAACTTTGATTTAGAAAAGAAAAAAGAAATATTGCAAACGCTTGAAATTGCCAAGTGTGTTTTCTCGGTGTTGTGTGAATACCTACAGTCATAGTGGAGTTTGGATATTTGTACTAGATGCACCCAAAGCCATGTGCGCCATGTTGAGATGTACTATTTTACATGTCCTGTAACGAATATATTTGTACATACGTGTTGTTTAATAAAATACAGGCAAAGAGTAATCGATGCCCTGTTGTATGTGTGAATTAATCTCTGATTAACTATCATTTCATCAGGAAATTCAGGAATTCATTCAGGAGCCTCTGGTTTGCATCCTGCCATGTTTATCCTCAAGAGAAGTGCACGGAAAGAAGGCAACAGAAGAATATTCCTTTGCAGGTTCACATCTCCTTGGCCCGGGGGGGGGTCCCAGAACATCATTGGGACCCATCTACCAAGCATCTGTGATATTGGAGGAGCACAGAGCATCGCAAAAGACAATCTGCCGCCCATCTGGAGCCCTTTATCAGCTGCAGTACCACCGGGCTCCTCGGTCCCTGAGACCTCGTCCTGCATTCTCCACCGTTTATTTGTCCCTCGGTTATTGCTCCTGCCGTCCGCATCAAATCGGAACATCAATATATTTCATCCTCTCGACACCAGTGTGGAGGAGTGCTGAGAGAGAAGCAGCTGTTCCACTTTTAGGAGCAGTGGAGTTTGTTTAATCGTGTGTGATAATAATCAGGATATTCCTCATGAACTTAACGAGGATTAAGTGCACGTCCACGTAAACACCAAAATCCTAATTCTGTGCAGATTGGACTTTGTTACCGATCTCTCACTGAAGAATGGTTTTAGTGAGGAAAGCACACATGTGAACGTTCCGATGGACATGATAAAAGAAATGGACGAGTCCTTTCAGGACTTTAGTTGGATTCAGCACCAGAGAACAACAGGACTCATTTCAAGCCTCGCGCTTGGTGTCCAGTTACTACGTGTGCGAAAGGCCAACGCTCTGTCCTAGAGGAAGATATGCAGACGGCCAATGAGACAATGTTGGACACTCATTTTAATGTCGCTCCAGTCGCCCACTAACAAATCACAATCTGAGCTTCAATTCCTCGTGTTTCTGTTTCTTGCCACAGTGTGAAATATGGTCAACATTAATTAATTAAATCTCCAAACATGAACTTATTGTCAGACAATTTCCTTCAAAAATGTATTAAATACATGAGTAACGATTACCCTTTTTTATATATTAACCCAATCATATTTCTTTGAGCCGTCGCAGTGAACACATGCATTTTAAGATAAAATAAAGCCTTCCGGTTTCCTTTCCATTGTAATTTCTCTCTCTCTTTATCAGTGTTGGCCTCGTGAATGAAACCCGTTAGGTGCAGTTGAATATCCAGGGCTATTTTCACAAACCCCTTTACAGGTGAACCTTTTAACACGCAGAGAAGCGAAGCAGTGGGGCTCAAGTCATCAACGTGCGAGCTGCTGCTCTGCTGGAGCTGAAGCCCTCCTTTTGGATTAGACGATTTTAATGAGACGGCCTCAAAAGACTCTGCAATCTCATTTACTGATGGTGCCAGTGACTCTTGGATTGATCTTAAGGACCATTTCACAATAGGCCCGATTTTCGCCCGTGCACTTCATAATCGCTGCACTCGTTTTGAACTTTCTCTCAAGATCCGCCGAAGCGAGGATAATGTTTGTGTGGTAGCTGCGGGAAGGCGTCGGCTCTTTCACGGCTTTCATGGTGTGATTGCAGGTGTTTAACAGAGAACGTTTGTTAAAAAAAAGGGTATAAATACACCACTTGAGAGTTTTCTGAGAGGGGTATTTTTTTACTGTGGGTCAAACCTACAATTCTGCACCCACATTTAAGTGGGGACCACTTTCTGTGTTTTTCACCTCTTCAAAAATTCTATCAATTTTCCTGCAAGAACACGGGGAGGCGAAGAGGAACAGAAGCTTCAAATGGAAGAAGCCTTCTCGTCCCCACAGCTGTGGAAAATCGTTGGTAGCCAGAAGAGAACAATATTACTTGCAATCAGAATGAGTCATAAGAAGGTCTCTCTGGTTGAACGACACAAAGTGACAAAGCGCCTTGAAGTGAAGTAGGACTTTAAAAATATTTTATACCATCCACCAAAAACACAAGCATAAAAAATAGTTTTTAGTCTGATATCGCTGCACAAGAAAGGAGTTTTAATGGCAGGAGCCATCGTTTTTGTGCTCAGGGATTACTCTGAATTCTATTGAAAGCGAATAAAAATATCCTATAATGGAAAAGGACAAATATCAATGTTGCCATGGCAACTGTGAAAACAATAAACTCAAGGTTTCAAAACGACAGCACAAACCAACGGGTGACATCGCTGTGCCTGCGAAAAAGTTGTTTTTTCCGATCGTTGTTCCCTTTAATTGGTTGTAAGACTTTGTTGCAGTAAGTTCTCATGTGTAGAGACGATGGTACAAATCGAGCTGCGGGCTGAAAAGCAGAGAAGATGCACCCTTGGACATAAGGTTGAATGATAAACAGCATGGGTCCTGTAGTGTTTACGCATTACACGGCATTGTGTATGTTGTCTGTAATATCCTGACGAGGCACGTGTGGCTTGTTTCACAGCTACAACGTGACAAGTCCTTTCTTCTCCTGTGAATTAGCCGAGTCCGATTCACGACGTCACAGGGCACCTTTTCTAAAACAAGACCTCAGGATTATGGTCACTATTATTAAGTCATTTTAGAGAATTTCCCACTCTTTACCTTATTATTATATTTCTCGCTCATCCTTTCTCTCCCGCTCTTCAGTATGAGGGACGGCCTCCCGAAAACATAAATGCATGACATAGAATGGCTCTTTGATCTCCTTGTGTGTGTGTGTGTGTGTGTGTGTGTGTGTGTGCGCACACACCTTGTACTTTCTCTTTTTCTTGTGCCTTTCTCCATAATGCAGTGCACCTGTTGTATGAATAAAGACCTTTTAACATAATGAATATGTGTTGCAGCAGGTCAGTGGTGTGCACACACACACAGTTGTGTTGCCTATAAGGGTATTATAGGAGTTAATTAAGCTTTCTTTTTTTTTCCTTCCTCCACCTTCACCTCCTCCGCCCTGAGCTTCTCCATCACATGTGAATGAAAACCAGATGAGATGAATCGGCCGGTTTGAAAAGGGGATTTGTTTCACTCTTTTTTCTTTTGTGATTTCCCCAGGTTAGAATGCGGACAGTCGATATTTCTTTTGCGCTTGACAACATGAATAAGTGAAATGGAATCGTGCTGGAGGTCCGTGTGTCTGTGTGTCTGCAGGATTGGGTGTAGTTCCTCCCTCGCGGAGAGCCCTGCTGCTGATGCTGCTGCACAGTGAGGACTGCTGCATTGCCTCGGGTAGATGTGAGGACAAAAGGACCGCGCCGATTCTTCCGCTTCACGTCCTCTCATGAAAACCAATATACAATCAAACTATACTTGTTTCACTACTGCATGCACTGAAACACGACGCCAAATGATCATGACCATGTGACTCTGAACTGCTGGATGTGTTTCAAATAACGTTCTTGAGAAAGTGTTTCCAAGCTGTTGACTGGTACTCTTTACATGTTCCTGTTTCCAACGGGTATAATAGCTGGAATAACAAGCCGGCCATCTGTGTGTTCCAATACCCATAATAACATGTTTAGTTTGCCAGAAAAAATATTTTGTACCGAATGCAGAATGCCAAAAACACCGGGGTGTCCTACTGCATCATTTGCGGTATGCGAGCCAGCGTGCCGTCCTCCCCATGCTGACCTACCAAGCTGCCGTAGCAGATAAATGAGCAAAAGGAGGATCAAAGGTGCCGTAATGAATGCACGGAGTTTTCCCCTAAATGTTTAAACTGTTACTTTAAACATCAGCAGCGATGTAAAGCAAGCGACGGTGCCTTGTCCAATTACATCAAATCCGTCTTCCAGGAGGAGAGTCTTTTTTTGTCCTCCGCTCCATATCATACATCCTGCTGACAGATGGCTGTCCTCCAGGCAGTGTCTCACCCTGCTGGACATGCCGTCCTCTTCCGTTAAATGGACGCACTGCACATTACACACATCTGTGGGCATTTCCTCAGTAACGCATGGCCTGAGTAGCGGTGTAGAAGCACAAAGTGAAGTCGAGGGGCTCCTCCACAGTCGTTCGCCGCTCACTGAGCCATGGATCGCTGTGCCAGCTGGCAGCTACGGATACTCAGACTGCGTCGGTCACAGCTGTCAGCCTCTGTGCGAATGCAAAGGCCACTCCATTAATGAATCCATTGAGCAGAGTGAGCAGCACAGCAGATGTAGGAGAGGTGATGCTGCACGGTATAGTGTGGCAGCTTCTCACATAAGGGGGGGGGGGGGGGGGGGGGGGGGGTTGGCTCAACTTCCCGGTAGATCTGAGAGGCTTGGAGTCCACATGCCTTCAGTCCTGACTGCTTGAAGGGCAGGTAGAGATCCTCCTCCCCTATAGACGGTCCGTCCGCCCAGCGACGCAGCTGTCTGAGTGGACTGTCAAGCTGTAACAGGGGTGATTGAGACAGTGGGGGGGGGGCACAGGAGAGAAGTGGAAAAGGTCTCCCTGCAGAGAAAAAGACTAATGATTGAAAAGACGGGAGAAGGAATCGAGGCAGACGGTTAAGTGGCTCACGACTTGTTCTTATAAAAGTCTGAAAAGAGATGGAGAGAGAGGAGAAAGCAGCCTGTGTACATGACAGCTTTTATTAGTGTGCCTTCAAAGGGATCTTTTACTAACGTCAAAGGAAGTAAATACAGTAAAAGGCAAGAGGTCTCAAATGGGAATCATAGAACATGTTGGCCTTGAATCAAGTTGTTAGGACCTTGATGTAAAAGTTTTTGGGGAGATCAAAAGTATCACACAGCTTCTCCAGAGTTCTCCAGAGTTATGGAGGGAACTATGGATTAATGGAGGAGGTGAAAAGGCTGCAGAGACAGTTCAGAGTGAGATGTAGGGATAAGAAACTGCTCTACCACGATTCAAAAAGTAAAGTTCTTCCCTGAAGTTAGACGAGGATTGTGTGAATGCTTCTACTAAAAGGGTCACAGTGGGCAAAGAAAAAGTGCAGGTGTAAGTCGAAAGGTGCAACTGGTTGAAGTTGAATTAAGGTCCAGTGCGGGACGCGAAGGCGGTTACAGGCTTCAGTTCCATCTGCGTTTCTGGAGGAAAGACTGGCATGTGAGTGCCGTGCATGTTTGATGAAT